AAAATTTCAGCCATCCAATTTATACCCATTACAATGAATAATTTCAAATATAACACGAATCTTTGTTTTTCATGATCAATCTTTCTCTTGCAATCGGGATGGTTGATTATTTTAGTATCTTGTATCCGTTTTGAAATCAACACCGCAGTGTGTATAAACATCAGTATATCACTAGATGATAGAATAGTAACAGGACCATAAAAATATATAAATGTGGACAACTTTGTTTCAAACCAACAACGACTTATTCCAAATCCTGGAGAAAATTGTGATGAGCTGTAAACAATTTGCATGTAATATGTGAAAGCTGAAATTAAAGAAGTACAACCCCAAGCATAAATGGAATACATTTTGAACTTTTTTGATTCATGTTGTTTTAAATTTCCTTTTAATGGTCGAAATCCACTGAAAATATATACATCGTAGTATGTAATTAGTATTATAACGTTCAAATAGACTACCTTTATTTTTATATACAAGTTCACTGATATATATCAGTATTAAATTTCAAACAATTTGTTTTAAATTATAGTAAATTGTTTTAATGTATTTATTGAACAGCTGTCTTAATTTCACATTTTTTTTAAACTTGTAACAAAGACTCATAATTAAATACACATTTTACTATACGTGCATTAATATTTATTTAGTTTAACAAACTTTTTAAAATAATATTCCACTATTATATTATTTTATACTTAGTGTGAATTTTGAAGTGAAATATACTTTATGTAATTTTTTAATTTTAATTAATGTGCTTTTATTTATGAAAATTAAGCACTATATATTATTAAGATTTGATAATTAATAAAATGGTGAGAGGATCGAGTAATTATATATCACTGCTTATATTATGAAGCCATAATTAAAGTTGAAGGATATGATAGAAATAGGCAAAGGAATAGAGAAATAAGGAGAAGGCTGATAATGGTTGTTTGATTACCCGACTGAAGATGAATGAAAAGAAAAAATTTTTAGAAAGAAAAGGAAGGTCAGTCAAAAAAAGAGATAGTTTAGGTTGCACAGGGCTTCCTCGGGATAGAGGATGTAAAGAGAGAAAGTGTTAAGAGAATGATGAATGTACTGCTGTTCCAAATTAAGCTGCAAATGTAGACCATTTTTATTACTAAGTTTTCTATATAGATTTTCTGTGATCATTTAGGTCTATACAAAAAATTTTGAGTGGGGAAGGATAAAAAATAAAAATTGTAGAGACTGATAACTTATCAGCTTTTTCATTACCAGCGATACCCACACGACTGAGAACCTAAATACCTGCAAATCTCTGTTGTAAATTGATAGCCATGATTTTGAATTTTATTATTATATGAAATATAAACTGTGATAAAGAAGTGTTGAGGAAGTTGGAATATATGGCCAGAAGAGTGCTTGTTAAATATTTTCCGCGGTTAGAGAGAACATGAATAGGACGTCGCATTATTGAGGTCGGAGATTTTAAGACGATTAGGAAGTTGTAAGCAGAGAATCAAGTGGTGTAGATAGGAAGTGAAAATATAAAAACAAAAAAAGTAGGAGGCCTATAGAGGATGATATTTGGATACCTAATGAACTTTAATATTTAAGAATAAATTGTTTAGAGAGAAGTGAGAAAATTAAGTTATACATATATGTACTTTTCAATTAATTTAACATTTTCTATTAAATAATATTAAAATTCCATATGATATAATATTACAATATTTACCGATTAAAATTAATTTACCTGAAAGTCCACCATAAATCAAAACACATTACATTTAACCAGAAGAAACTTGCCAAAAAAGAGAACTGAATAATAAACCCTGTAAAATTAAAAATCGGTGTTTATACTATTTTAAATCGATAATAATTTTTTACGATACAAAATGTAACGATTGTATTTTCCGACTTTATAAAGTATTATATAATGAAAAGTTATAAGTATACTTATAATTTTTCATTGTATAATACAAACAATTTATTTAAAATTTAGAAGTTATTGAGATTACTATGTTGAATACTAATTTTCGACAAATTAAACTTTTCTTGTCTTAGTCACATCAAAAATAATGACTATGTTAACTTTAAATTTCCATTGAATTTTGCGTAGGCATATTTTTACACTAAAAATCGGGGGGGGGGGGTATCACGTCTTCTTATTATTGTATCTTATACTGGTATATCACCATTCTCTTAAAATTATACGATTAATTCAATTTTGATATTAAAATTTAACATCATAATCGTATTTTTTTTGTAATGATTATCACGTTACTATTATTATTGTAAATATGTTTTGTATTACGACTCATAAATATTTTATCTTACTCGTATGATTACTAACTTAGTTCAATAATAATTAATTTATAACACTAATAGTTCCTACTTGTAAATATTAATATGTTCATAAATTAAAATTGTCTATTTAGGCGTAAATAAATGAAATTAATTAATGTTTGAATTTTTTTAATAATTTTAATTTTTTTTTTTTGAATTTTTCAAAAGTTTTCCAAATAGTTAAGAAAAACTAATTAAAAGTTATAAAAATACGGCAATACTAATGGCATAACGGTTTTTGACAAAATCAAATTATTATATTAGTCGTAACTCAAAAAATAATAAATGTGAAGATATGAAAATTTCACATTATGTTTATTTCATCGTTCGCTAGAAATAGTTTAATTTTCAAAAATTTTTTTAAAGTTACTTATAGTTAAGTTTAGTTTAGTTAGTTACACATTTTTTTTCCATGTCAATAAAATAATTGTGTTTCCACACAAGGGCGGATTGATTTAAGTGACGATGTGGCGATTGCCGGCTAGGCCTTTTTATATTGGAGTCACTGTTTTTAATTTGGGTCCATAAAATATAAATATATAAATGTTTATCCGCTTTGATGTTTTACCCTATACTTTTTCCTTCCTCTATAAGTTTTTTTATCATGTTTCTTGTTTGATATTCTGTTTCGCTCATTATTATTACATTGCATGCATACGTTGTTATCATTAAATTTTGTTCTCAAATGTTCAGATCTATATATTCTTTTAACATTTTCCTTACTACTAATTTCAGAGAAATTTTGAAAAATATGGGCGTTCTTTCAAAAATGATTTGTCACTTCTGGTCTTTTCTGTTATAAGTGACCCATCTTTGCTTCTCATGACTGTTGACCTTCGCTTGAATTATGTTCTAATTTCGTTAGTCTTTTCAAATAAAATTGTTATATTACCGCTGTAATTATCTTTTATCATTTCTATTCTCTGTTTTCCCATTCTCTTTTCTTTCTTCTAATTATTTGCTTGGTTTCTTTCTGTTTGATAGCCAAGATTCTCTTATTATATTCATATGGAATTTTAAATAGTTCTAATCGTGCTTGATGTATTTCTGCCAATACTCTCTTGCAGCTTTCATCAAACAATTTATTCCAGCGTTTTTTTCTTCAAACCTCAAGATTTTACTGCCAATTTCTTTATTGTGATCTGTTTGTCATTGAAATTTATCTAGCTTATCTGTTTCGTTTACTAATTTTAATGTTTCTGTTAGTCTTTTTTCATAATGTTGTTCTATTGTTGAATGCTTTTTTGGAGCTTAAATGTTCACTATTTGAGCACTACTAAGTTTAAGTTAGAGCACTACTAGTTGAGCAGTATTGCTTGTTTTTGTCTTTTAACTGACAATCAGATTTTGAATTTAACTTTAACGGGAAAAGATACCGATATAGGGATATATATATATATTATATATACTACTTGAATTACCCGGTTTTGCTCGGGGTGTAGTTTTTACTTTCTCTAAATGAAATGCTTAAATCAATAAACATTGTTGCATTTTAAAGAAGAAAAAAATGTATTTTACTTAATTTAATCAAAGTGCTAAATAGTAATAGTAGATGAATTATAAATAATAATAAAAATAATAATATTTAAAAATGATTCTAATGATTCTATAATACCTATCCTTGTATATATTAAAGAACAGACCTTTTTTAGGTCTCAATTTTATGACGACATTATTTAATATTTTTCCAATTTCTCCTTTCCCTCCCCTCCGACAAAAAAAATGAAAATTTGGATGACTTGATGACACTTAGGAAGGTATTTGAAACAAATCTGAGAAATAAAATTGGAAAAATATTTAATAGTGTCGTTATAAAATTGGAACATTATAAATGTATATATATACAAGGATATATTATAAAGATAATTATATAAAATAATTTTCCTGTTATTTTCTTTAGAACTATGATAATGACTGAATACTTGCAAAAATGATTTACAAGCACTATAAAATGAAATTTGACGAAATCAGATACTTTTACGAATTTCTATTAAACAAAATTAGTTAATTGGTCAAAGAAATTTCATAGTTTCGAAATATTTTAATGAAGTGTGTGCTATTATATATACCTACTCGAAATTTTTGATTTTCAAAATTTTAGCCACCGTTTTTACTGTCACCATAATTATATTATTGGTTCAACCTAAATTTGGTTCTTTCACTATAAAAGCCATTTTTAGGAATATAATCTGATCCACTCTTTTTTAATCAGAATCATTTTTTCGAGAGCAACGGTTTCAAGTTTAAAAGAATAATAAGCAATACCATTCATCCTTGTAACTTAAAGAACTGTAGTCACCCGATTTAGATATCTCGCCTATTTTATACTTAGGGCTTAAATTAATTAAAATACTTTTCATACGTTTTTATTTGTAGTTAAGGAAAGTTAAATAATTAGTAGCAAAATAATTGTATGTGCATCAAAGCAGTTTTGTACGATTGAGAACGTTTTACTTTATTGATAACACGATTGAGAACGATTGTCGGTAGATCAAAGAAACAATATTTTGTACATTATAATCAAACGATTGGAAACGTTGACGTTTATCTTAAGGTGCGATTCCTATGCGCGAGAGTGCGATAATGGCGTGACTATAGTATACTATAATATAGTCGCGTTGTGGCACGACTGTCGTTTTCAGCCGCGCGAATACTTCTTTTCCCATTTTTAAATGTAGGTAATTTCTAACACCACGACTGAGCCGCGCGACCGTAACGTGCGTCTATAGCCGCACAGTGATGTCCGCTCCGGGAGCATTCGCGCCCTACCAATTATGATGTCATTATTATAATTCGTAGTTAAACTGATCCCAGCTTAATGTAAAGAACTCTCTAAATTTCGTTTGATCTTCCCATAAATGTTTTTCGATTAATATACAAAAAACCCTTCACTTTTCCTGGCTTGGAAAATCGTATGGATTTGTTTCGATTTCTTTGACAAGTGATGGTGTTTAAGTGCTTGTTATTCGCTAATCTCTTGTAAACAAAAAGTAATGCTAGTAATTGTTTTTTGCGATGTGACATCGACATGTCAAATGTATACAAATCGACTTTGTTAAAAGCAATTTATAGTATGAATATCAAATGGTTAGAAAATTAATAAAGACACTAGACAGAACTATTTTGGAAGGACTACAGGGAGCCCACTGTCGCGTCGTACTCGTCGATTATAGGAATTTATTCTTGTTCGCACGGCTGAAAACAACAGTCGCATCGCAACTACAGACACGCGCATAGGAATCGTACCTTTAATGTATAGTAATAAAGATAATAAATACGATATCGCGGTTTACGTATCAGATATTAGTTTTTTTTTTTTTTTATAGAGTGTAAATAATTATTAGTACTACCTATAGTCTATAATCGGTAACAACGTATTGTGCGTAGTGTTTATTATGGGGAAAAAACGGAAAATATGAAAATGAAAGCTAACCCAAACTTTAAGAATAATGAAATCGACTGAAATAAAATGCTATTAAGACTATGGCCAGCAAAGACTATGATCGCATTATTTCAAAAATTAAATCTTACAAAGAGTTTGAACAAACTAAAGATGTCATGAGGTATCTAAAGTTAACTGGAAATTAGTACTCGGAAAAAAAATTTCAATTGTATTTATTATTTTTTTGATTATATCTTAAACTGATTTATATTTTTAAAAGTATTAGATTAAAATTATTTTAAAATTCAATATTAAGTATATTATTTTGTATTTTTGATCAATGCGGCAACGTTGCATAGAAGTTGACAGTTAAAAATGTTCTCAATTGTGTTATTAAAAAAGGTACGGCCGATAAAGACCGTTCTCAATCGTGTTCTACTCCATCAAAGTATTAAACGTTGACGAAATTCGTTGTATTATCCGATTTTCAATTGAACCAAATTGGACATTTTGTCGCCTAAAAATATAAATCGTAGAGGTTTGAAACGAAAACTGAAAATGTTTATAGCATCATTATCAATAACTTTTTATAGCCTTAAAATTTAAAGAAAATATGTGTTTGCTAACAATATTTCGATTAAATATTAGGCAATGCCGTACTTTGAAAAACAACTAAAATCGTAAAATAGTCATTATAATTACTGCGAATAAGACCTTGGTATTTATTATGTATTGTTTCACACATAAAAAAATTTAACAGCCTTAAAACCCACACCTTGTTATTTAAATTCGTGGAATGTTCCAATTTTTTGTTAAAAAATATACATATTTGGAATTTTTTTTTTAAATTATTTTCCTAAGATACGTTATTTTACCATAGTTATTTGTTTAAATATAAAGAATCAAGTGTTGTTTTTCTAAAGTATTATTAAAACTAATATCCTGCTCACATATTATAAGATATTTTAGTTTGCGCATATTATTTATAATAATATAGTAAATTGCTAGTATGTATTTGATATTTTAAAAATGGGAATTGATTTTTTTGATTTTACTTTACTTGTAAATATTGTTAAAAATATTATACGTGTAGACATTTTATACATAATAATATTATTATAGTTATTATCTTGACACCCAATGAGTAATATACGTGAATATTCGTATAAAATATCATTGTTGTGATTCCAAATTTTTCTAAAAATAATTTAAATGTTTTTATAATGTTATAAATAAAATATATCATCAAATAAGGAATTTTAGTATTATAATTCTGTACCTCAGAACTAGATCAACGTATCTTACATTATACTAACTTTTCATAAGAGTAAAAAAACAGAGAAAAAAGATGTTGTCTACCTACAAAGTTTATATTATTAATTAAAGAGTTGTAACGGAAATTAAATTAGTATTTTCAAAAGACTTCCGTTATTATGGCTCGATGAAAAACTTATTACATGCAAAATAATGTAGAAGTTTGAAAACATTTATTTTTTGATTTACGTTCATCTGGTTCTGAGGTACAAAATTATTAAAAATAAATTATTTTACTTACCGATTAAAATACAAACATTATTTTCAATTTGATTGTATATAAATTGAATTATGATTAAACTTGTGTAGGCTACTAAAAGTGCTGCTATATGACACATTAAGGATTTTCCATGCAAATTACGTAACTTTTTAAAAAATGCGTACATTATGAACGTTACTAATAAACACGGTACAGAAACTATCAGTGCCACAATATGATTTATACATAATCCGGTTGGTGGTGAGATTTCACACGCAATAGCTATAATTTGAAATTCATTTTCGAAGAGTTGATCTATGCAAAATTGACCAGGCGCAGCAGATTTAGATTTTAAATGGTTTAGTAACCATCCATCTTCAGAAATACCAAAATTATCTGCGTCACTTATATTTGATGGTTTTAGTATATATATTGAATCATTATTATTACAATACATTTTCGTATAAAATAAGTGAAATTGGTCCAACTCGTATACTTCAACCGGCCCACTTTCATTTACAAACTTTGGAACCTACAAATCATAAAATATTTCTTACTTTAGTAATTTTAAAAATAACAGAATCTGTATTTAATATTTGATGATTAAGGTAAAGATGGCGTATGATAGCCGATAATTGGTATTTATTGCAGCAGTTTAGATACAATTAAAAAATAAAGTAAAAAAATGTCCTATTTTCGTTAAAAGGTAAAACGATACCATTATATATTAAAGTTTGTATTAAACTAACATTTATTGAAAATACGTCGTTGTAACTAAAATTATATAATAAAATAATAAAAATTAAATATCATTGAATATATTCAAATAATAATAAAATTGGAAATAACTAGAAAATAAATAGTGTAGTTTATTATACATAAAATAGGTTAGGTTAACAGACAAATTACCTATCTAGATTTAAGCGGTATATTTGAAATTATTTAATTTATTGAGAAATAAGGGTAATTTCAGTTTAAACGAGGTTCAATAATTGGACTAAATTTCACGAACCAACATATTATCAGAGTTGCATGGGTTGTCTCAACAGTGGCGTATCCAGATTTTTTTTTTGGGAGGAGGGGGGTTAGAAAAAATGTAACATTACATTTTTTTGAATTTTTTATGTTTTTATTATAATCAATAGATAATAATCATACATCAGTGGCGTGCGTACGCAGAATTTTACAATGGGGGGGGGGGGGGGCTTGAAAATAAATAATCACTCAGTTGTAACAGATGCATTGGCTTAAAAAATAAAATCGTTGCTTTTTTATTTCTTATTTAAATTAAACATAAAATAAGTAAACAAAAAATAGATTAAAAAAAAAAAAATAACAAAAATAATGGGCAATAAAATACATTTTTATTTAGTCCAGTCTAATATTTGTAGTCGCTTAGGTGATGTTTTTGAAAATTGTTGCTAACATTAGTTCAGTTGTAATCATAGATTATAAATACCCATCCATAGATGGACAGTCCATAGACTGTGGTCGTAATCACAGACTAAGTTATGTAACATATATTATGTATATAATATCATGTATAATATTTATTAATATCTTAGTCCGTAGTTCTAATAAATGGGTAAATATACGCTTTGAGAAACTATATTAATTCGTTGGTAGATTTAAAAACAAAAATAATAATACAGGTAATGGGGGGGGGCTTCAGCCCGTTAGCCTCCGCCTGCGTACGCCAATGTCATAGATAAAACATTTTCAGGAGGGGTTATAACCCCTAACTCCCCCTGAATACGCCACTATGTCTCAGTCTTACAAACGTACAGATTAGTAAATCTGGGTTCATTAAAACTAAAGACCGGATTTATATGCATTTTAAATTGTAAAATATGCATACAAACATGCACTAAAAAAAGTCAAATTATGAAAGAAAAAAAATGTAAAACATGCAAAATTAAATTTCAATTTTTATTCAATTTTTTATTTAATTTTAATTTCGAAGTGATTATAATTTATTAATTTTATTAAAATGTTCATAAACAAAAAGGAAGATGTCTAATACATCAAATATACAATAATTTAATTTGTTAAATTGCAATTTAATTTTTAATCATTAATACATTGTAAACATCATTTTATTAAAATTAAATAGTAAATACATTCAAGAAAAACTGGTCAAAAATTAATTGGTAAATTACAAAATAATTTTCCACAAAAAACACGTACACTCAATACATTAAATTGGATACAACGTAATTCTTACTAATAATTATCTTGTATAATGTATCTAAAATGTAGTTTCGGGTATTTTATCAAGAAGTTTCGATAAAATAGATAAAGCCACGTCTCCATCATAAAACTCGGAAAACCAACCTGTGGAAGTATAGTACCTATTTTTAGCGTCCGAATATTTTCTGAGATACATTTTTATAATATTTGTTGTTCAATAAGTATTTAATATTTGATATATTTGATATTTATATAAACGTACCTATAATCTATTTTTTTTCTCAATAACTTTTTGGATCGTTAGGTGTATATTTGTACGGGTTTTTTGTTAAAATATGCATAAATGTGCAGAACATGCACAGAACATCACGTCAGAATATGGGAAAATATTAAAAACGTTTAAAACATTTTGATATTTAATCAATCAAACTATGATTTGTGGACATTCATTGATTGGGTTTATAGCAATTTAGCCGAAAATATTTAATCTTAAAATATTTAGTTAAAATACAAACGATAACATTTTAACCAACAGATATTACAACAGACAATATTTCAGCTAACAAGTAGTACAATAACCGTGGTCGTCACCTTATATTTTCCATGTTTATTTCCAAATTAAAAACCAGTTTAACAAATCAGTTCTTATCAAATATTTGTCGACTAAAATACAGTCGACAGTAATATTTGTCGGCTTAAATGTGGTCAGCTGTTTTATTTTTCAGCTAAAATACAATCGGATGTTTTATTTGTTGGCTAAAATGCGGTTAGTTGCTAAAATATTGTCGATTGTTACATTTGTCAACTAAAATATTTTTCGGCTACATTACAGTTCAACTGTTTTATTGTCGGCTATTTTATGCGCACCCATTGACTACATATATACGATATAACTGTGTGTAAGGATGTTGAAAATAGCAAAATGCATTTTATGTAAAATCCGGTTTTTAATAAGGATTTATATTGTGTTGTTTTTTAATATTAGAATAAATTTACCAATCATCAAACTTAAAGGAAAATTCACTACTCGTGTTTTCTTGTCAGTTTTTTTACAATTTTTAATTTTAAAGAAAATTTTGAGTTTTTTTTTAAGTTTTAATATATTACATGTGTAATTATAATATTTTTGAAATTAAAATAACTTATAAATCTACGAGATGACACGGATAGTTTTTATTGAGGCTGTATTCAATTTGTAACATATGTAATTTGTACCAAAATGTTTGAAATGCGATTTTCATTCGCTCCAAAATAAGGATATATATTTTGCACCAAAATTAAAATCTATTATTTTTTCGATAGTATCTCGATATTAACAACGTACAAATTTCTATACATCGAGTTATAAGAAGCTAGTAATACAGAATTTTAGGTTTTAGATTCTAAGCCGTTATTTATGTTACTTCAGTATTGACCTCAGAGCTACCTTATAAGAATAGTCAATCATTTATGATAACAGTATAATAATTTCATTATTTTTGTCAAAAAATATAATTTTTAAACACATAATGCTTTTAAATTATTTGTTTACAATATAGATTTCGATAAACAATATTTATAATCCTAATATAACTTCAGTTTAGTTTTTATTTATAAAATAGCTAAGCTTATACAGAGATTGTTTTAGGTTTGTAAAAAATTTTATCATGAATATTTATTTTATTTATTTATTTATGATAAACGGGTAATAATCCTTTTGTGTGAGCAATATCAGGTTTACATTTTGAGTATTTTATAGTAAAAACTAAAATTAAAACAATAATAATGAAAATCAATTACAAAATAATAATAATTAGATAAAGATAATAGTAACAAGAAACAACACTAAATTAATAATAATATAATAATGGTAATTAATTTACAACTATGTTTAAAGATAAATATAAATTTCTATTAAAAACAATTTATGACATAAAGAAAAAATCTACATGATCAGTAATAGAATTTGCTAGTTTTAATGTTCTAGGAAAGAATGAAGTGGAGCCATAATTATTTTTATAAAACGGTACACCAAATAAGTTCGAATTTCTTAATCGGTGATTTTTTATATTAAACTCTATCATAGAAATCAGATCTGGGGAAAAAATATGACCATTCAACAAATCATAAATAAACATAATATCTGGAATATAAAAAGAAGTTAGTCAATTTAAAAAATGATATGTAAAATTAATAAAAACAAATGTAGGTATGTTGCGTTTGATTTGCCAGATTTTAATAGCATTTTGTGTCACGGTTAAATTAAAATGGGATAATCTGGAAATAACAATTTTTAATTTAAATAAAATAAACTTAGGTACATATTTTTACGATGAAACAGAAAGACTAAACGGTTAGCTTAGAATTTGATCACAATAATAAACTGAAATATATTATACAAACATATATTTAACGATAATACGACCGATAATTGGACGTCAAACGTCAAAATATTAACAGCTAAGGCGAAAATTCAGAAAAATCATTATTGTCATTCGAATCTAGTCTGGATATCGACAAGGATACCGAGGAATAATCGAATATTATAATATCGAATAATCGATTATTAATCAAATAGATACTCATTTTGGTGCAAATTACAAATTATACTTTCGACTACCTGAAGGTGGTGCAAATTACAAAACTTTAATTTGGTGCAAATTACAAACTCCCGTTTTCAATTATAAGTCGGTTTACTCTGATAAAAAGCTTACAATTCAATTCGGTCTATTTAACGCATATTTGTATGTTTCTAAGAAGGTTAGTTGTAAACTAGGAAAAAAAGAGGTTATTCAACCCTTCCCCTTTCTAGTTTACAATCTACAGCGTGAAAATGTTAATTCATCAGGAGAACTTTTTGTTTTCGGCTTCTTCACCGACAAAAAACAATTTAATTAACATATTAATCATCCTTTTCAACAATAAAAGCATTGCCTATGTTTAATAAATACCATCGACGAGTAGAATACAATTTCGACGGCATATAATATCCATGGGTCATAGCTGTGTTGGAATTAGTTAAAGCACAAAAAAAAAAAATGAAACTAATATCGTTCGTTAAGCTTAAGACGCCGAGTAATGACGTTAGATGGGACTTACCACGAATTCCTCGTGCGTGTTGTTGTTGTATAACACACATTCATAATCGGCGTTTAATATTTTTTTTGACGAACAGCACTTGAACAAGCACGGTTTCTGCAGGCATACCTCGTAACCGGAACCGTCGGTACGACGACGGTACTGCGACGGCCGGTATTGTCGTTCGGGTTCACCGGCCAACAAAATGTCGTCCTTCAGGCGGAACTCTTCGGGTGCCGGCTCGCATACGATCATCGGACACGCGTCCGTGGTAATCGTGCTGCTGGTCATCACCGGTAGAAGTAGAAGTAGATGTGCCAACAGCGACGGCGACCGTCCAGACGGGCCCGTCATCTGGAACTATGTATCAACACTGTATACGGAACTAATTATCGCCAACCTTTCGTGCGAAAAGCGTAAGCGTGCGTACGCAAACGATCGAAGACTTATGTCGCGCGTAGAAGAGGAGAGTTAAAAAATGGAAATTGAATGTTTTCACCGATTTCAACACCGGCGGGACAACGCGTACGACGGATGACGGACCGTTTGTGCATAGTGCGCTTTGATGATCCACCGTGTTCATACTCACGAGATAACGCGTCGCAAAACCTGCTCGGATCGAGTGGCGACGGGATTAATAGAGCGCGTGTTCACCGTCGTTATTTTATGTGATTTCCGCTATTATTTGTCATGTTTCGTTATCCAGTGTAACATATTCTGCTGATAATTACTATCGTCAATAGTATATTTTATTTTAAAAGTTACAAAAAATATGAAACCAAAGATTGTTTCAATAGGTCCCGTCGAATACATTTGTTTAATTTTGCAACATGTGCTTGCCAATTATCAGTAATCACCGGAGTCAATGCAAACATTGTGATAATAATTGTAAGTGCTTTCAATGACTACTCCAATAGCTGTCCGGTTACGTCTCTCTCTTGTATTTTGATAATTTCAATAATGGGGGAAATTACTTTAGTAGGATAAATTATGCTATGTTTAATATGCAGCTTAATTCAGAAAAACATATATAAATAGATAACATTAATAGGGTAATAGTAAGAATTAATAATATAGAAACTTTTTTATAATTTTTTTCTCATTTTTCCGTGAGTGGATTTTAGTTTCTTAAAATTTATATTTACTTCGCAATTTTAAGTTTTTCTTGATAATGAAATCATATTACTACGGTTTTTATCAGTCACTTTCAAAATTGGAAACTATTCAAAAAATTTGTGATTTATACAAAAATTTATTTATTTACTACCTGTGTATATATTGTATTTATCTACTAATGGCTATATCTTAAAATAATATTTATCCTAGTAAAATGTTTTCATATGCCTTGAATATTCTAAAATGTAGTGCTTTCGCATAGATTGGGTAAATATTCAAATTTTTAAATATATTCAAGATTTTCATATCCATTGGGGCGCGATCCCCGAAATGGGATTTTTTTTTATTTCCGTAGACACTTATAACAAATCACATACATTTGTACTGTCTACTGAGTTATTTAAATAAATCTTTTATTAATGTGTTCAAATACAAACATATTTCTACACGAGAAAACATTCATGAAATTCTAATGAATTCATTGGCATCGCATTGACTGAAATCAGTATAATACTTAAAACTTTACGAAGAAACATACATAAAAATATAGGCACATAAGTACTAAATACATAACGACAAGACTTCATATTCGAGTAAAAACAACTATTGTAAAATAAATAAATTATTAACATATTTTCATACTCTGTAATTATAAAAACTTTGCTGATATTAATATCGCTATTTTGGCTTAGAAATATATCAATCATAAAAGTAACTGTGTACATAAAGTCATAAAGTCTAAGGCAAAAATGAATCACAATTTACTGATCAATTTAAAAATCTATTCGCATTAAACTTATGTACGTATATATTATTCATTTTTACTTACTATGCGTTTGATAACTAAGATGATAAGTATCTTATATATTAAAAAAAAATATAAAAACTAAAGTCAGTCCGTTCTATCCGGCCGATTTTCTTCATTTAATTTTAAATTAAAGGTATTCAGACACAGATATGTCATCAGTCATTTAAATTTACTCAACTCCCACCAACGCGATTCTTCCCTATACATTTCTTATGGGACACATTTACTCAAGCAATATTCGAATTCTCATAGCTCCTAATGAATGGATCTTAATTGCTTCAATCATTTCGATATGTCTTTCAATGCTCTAAATTATTCTCATTTATTGATTTGTTAAAATGTGTTTATGTATTGATTTGATTGTACCTATACTTTTTATTATAAAAATAAATTATCTATTGCAAATTTTCGCAATGGGTATACTAGTATCTATTAATATCAATGTAATATTTTATTTTATGTTTTATTTTGATTAAAATTATTGATTATTATTGATTAAATATACTTTATTATATATTTAATCCATGTACAGGTACATTAATGCATTAGTTTATATTCATTTATGGTAATATTTATAATATTGATCTGACTTAACACGGGGAATAATTTTCTTATATAATTGTACAAACGTAATTTTAATATAAATATTTTATTAACATTAAAAATTGTTTAAATAATGTTCAATTTAGGAGGGAGCAAACTTATCATTTTGCCCTTTCATTATTTTTTCTGGAGGGGCAGCTTCCCCCTCGCCTCTCCTCCAACCACCTATGTTCCATAGACTGTCATTGATTTGTATAGTAGTAGTTTATTTTTTAGTGTAGTTGGTTAATATCTTAAAGTTAAAGTATTTTTTATATGACATGTTCGTCCCAGGTTAGACATTTGTCTAATATTAATTCTAAATAACGAACATTGGAGGTCGGTGGTATGATTTTGTTGGACAGTGAGATCGCAGGGACAGCGATTAACCTTTTTTTAACGTAAAAGTACTATGGAAGAATTTTTCATTGTTAACTTTAATCTTCCATTTTGAGTATCATGCTTCTATATCGCTAAGGTGATTTAAGACATTGACCAACAGTAAGTGGGTTTTTGTAGGAAGTAAGGATAATTTTGTCATTTGGGAAGTTAGCAACAGTAGTGTGGTCAGATGTTAGTTGATCTACTGCAAATATGTTATACAGAATTGGAGATGATATAGCACTTTAGAGGGACATCAGCTAATACTTGGCTAATGTCATATTATCCGGTTAATGTTACCATTAGCCAACATTCATGGCGGGTAATGATAACAGTTGGCTAATGTTGACATTATCCAAATGTTAACATTACCAGTAACATATACAATTTGAAGAGAAGGATTACATATTATTGATTCCTTAGTAGTATGGAATGGGGGTGGGGGTAGAGTGATTTAGTCTATGGGTGCCAAAACGCAAAATCCGTCACTGTATAAACACCTTTATGGTAATTAATTTTTATTTATATACTGTAATAATCATTTAATCGCTTCACTTCAACATTGAATCAAATTCAAGATACAGTGGTAGTTTTAGATATTGTACTACTATAGCGAGTTTTAGTTGATGACGTAGTAGATTTCTTGAAAAGTTTCATACGTGGACAAAGCTTTTCGCTTAACAATCTTAAGACGCGTTTTCTACATACAAAAATTACAAAAATCAACACTCCCTGCAATGCATTTCCGAAATCTGTAATGATCCATAATATATTAAAACTAGAATCTTTATCCTCAAATGCCCAAGACAAAATTTCAGCCATCCAATTTATACCCATTACAATGAATAATTTCAAATATAACACGAATCTGTAACATACAAACCATTTATTTTATAACTTAGTGTATTTTTTATTTAATTAAGTACCGACTAATAATACTAAGCATCCAACTACCATTGTAATAAGTTAATTACTCAATCCAAATATAGTATAAAATGTTTTCTGTCTTTATTCAAATTATAATAATCTAATATATATAACATTAAATATATAATTTATCCGATACAGCGAAACGTACCTTTGTTTTTCATGATCAATCTTTCTCTTGCAATCGGGATGGTTGATTATTTTAGTATCTTGTATCCTTTTTGAAATCAACACCGCAGTGTGTATAAACATCAGTATATCACTAGATGATAGAATAGTAACAGGACCATAAAAATATATAAATGTGGACAACTTTGCTAAAATATCAATTTTATAATTAATTCAAATTGTATCTGTTGACAAATTAATGTTTTTAAAATGTAGTATACACATTCAAGTTTATATAATAAATTAAAGGGATATTACTTATTTAATTTTCATATATTATAACTTAAGAGCGGATTTTTAGGTTCTTAAAAGCTTAAAATATGATGATAATATGCTCAAAAAACTCTAAAATAATCTCTAAATATTCATTAAACTTGTAAATATGCGATAATATGATTTTTTTTTCTTAAATAGTTCAATAAATACATTAAATTACTGTTATGGACCATTCCTTTGGTAACAGGAAAATTATTTAAATATAAAAATTTAAAAAAGTTCATATATTGGAGTATAAATATAATAAAATTATATATATAAAACAAATAGTTAAATAAAAACAATGAACTTGTATGCACCATTCCTTGGTAAAAAATAAATTATTTAAAGGAAAAAATGGATAAAAGTTCCATATTTAGGAATATAAATAAAACAATCAAATTTTTTTTCCTAGAAAAATTACAACTCCAGAAATTAATAAAATATACTTTTTTTTTTTTTGTTTTATGGGCCCTTTTGCAACTTCTACTAAGTCTCTTCACCTGTCATGATCAATATCAGTCTCAAAACTAGCTGCTCCGTTCACCATTTATATATCTACATTGACTCTATCCCATCATCGTTGACGAGGTAAATAAAATAAAATAAAATAGGTAAATAAAATAAATATGCTTTTTATGAACAATAATTGAGTGTATTCAAAAATATGAAAAAGTGGCTAAATATTTTCATTTACTAAAATATGTTAAAATATGGGAAATAAATGTTTTCCTAAGAACTCTATGATGGATAAATCGTTTACATTTTTTATCCTCGTAAATCTGCATAAAGCCAATAAAATTATATAAAAACTGCTCTCTAATTATAACCTTATAACTATTTTCAACAAATAATTATTTATTGTTTTGAAGCCGGAGAAGCTTTTTAATGAGAGACAAATTACTTAGAAATTTTAATAATCCTTAAGTTATGTTTTAATAATTTTTTTTTTTTTATAATTGGACTTCGGTCCGTAATATGTATATATATATATATATATAATAATATATATTATAATATAAATATAATATATATAATAAATAAATACCTATTGATATCTTCAAAAATATATCTTATTAATTTTATTCTTGTAAATAAAAGTAATTAAAATCATTTTTTTAAATATTTTTTCTTTCGTATTATAAATATCACATTTAGATATTTTTATATTATTGTCCTTGAACTCTAGTGAATTTAAAAATATGGTTATTTTAATACTTACTGTTAAACCAACAACGTCTTATTCCAAATCCTGGAGAAAATTGTGATGAGCTGTAAACAATTTGCATGTAATATGTGAAAGCTGAAATAAAAGTGGTACAACCCCATGCATAAATGGAATACATTTTGAACTTTTTTGATTCGTGTTGTTTTAAATTTCTTTTTAATAGTCGAAATCCACTGAAAACATATACATTGTAGTATGTAATTAGTATTAAAACGCTCAAACAGACTAAAAGTTCACTGAAAAATATCAGTATTAAATTTAAAACAATTTGTTTTAAATTATAGTAAATTGTTTTTTTGTATTTCTTGAACAATTGTCTTCAATTCACATTTTTTTTTGTAACGAAGAATTATAATTAAATACACATTTTACTATATTTGTATTAATATTTACTTAGCTTTGTAAACTTTTGAAAATAATATTCCATTATTATATTTTTTCATACTTAGTGTGGATTTTGAAGTGAAATATACTTTATGAATTTTTTTAATTTTAATTAATGTGCTTTTATTTATAAAAAATTAAGCATTATATATTTTTAATATTATTAAGATTTGATAATTATTAAAATGGTAAGAGGATCGAGTAATTATAAATAATTGCTTGTATTATAAAGCCAGAATTAAAGTTACAGGATATGATAGATATAGTCCCAACTGAAGACGAATGAAAAACAAGTTGTCTTTTTAAATGTTAGTACATTGTTTAATCTAATTTATTGAGCTGCTGTGTTCAATTCACATTTTTATAAGTATATAACACAAATAATTATATTTAAATTTATATTCTATTATAAATGAGTAAATTTTTATTATATTTCATAAATTTGTTATGTTTAATGTATAAATTAAATATAATTTCCGAGCATTTCAAGAAGATGCATTTAACTAAAATCAATATTATTGTTATATGTTAATGTGTTAGTGAACTGTATAAATTGTATAATTTTTAGTAACAAATATCATAAATTTTAGATTATTTTCACAAATTTGACTATAGTCAACGTTACATAAATCTATTCATATTGATGAACAACGTAGGACTGTAAACTGATTGCCTAAACCTACTTTACAAATTATATTTTATATTCCCGGTTAATCTTAATCGCGTTATATCTAAACATACATCAATATTAAACAATTATAATTGCGTTTATTCATTCATTTATTTATTTTTGTGTGAGTAAGCTTTATAAAATAATATTCTGATCATATAGTATCTTACGCAAAAATTAGAACTGTAAGTAAAATATACTATAATATAGAAATTTTAGTGTTCGGAAATGTTCTTAAAGAAACTCATTCTCGTTCATGATCATTTTATTTTAGATTGAATACCACGTTCAAATTCTATGAAAAAATAAACGCGTTCATTTTGATGTAAATTTAAATATTTTTATTTTATATTCATGAATCACCAACTTTTATTCTATATAAATGAGACCTTTACAAAATATTTAAGTTATATTTAAAAAATATAAAACATAAAGTTATATTTAACTTTATGTTCTACATTTTTACTTAAACATATTATAATAAATATTTATTATTTTTAAATATTTTTAACTTGGTTAATACATTTAAACGTCTCCAAAATGGTCCAAATTCAATGACATCGTTCACCAGGGCGTATTTATGGGGGATGGACTACAACCCTTCCCCCCAAAATTTTAAGAAAATCTAAAAAATATCTTTCATGGTCTATGAAAGTCCTGCAAAAGTCTTAAATTTCATTTTATTGATTTTAAATTCATATTTTTATTTTGTTAGCTTATTTTATCACTCATAGACAAAATTGTTTTTCGGTTTGGAGCCAGTAAGTTTTTTTACTTTGAAAAACATCGTTCTACGTCGGTTGATGTGAGTGGAGCGTACTTAAAATAATCTACATCGCTTACCGTCAAGTTTTCAGGTGAACTAACCAACAGTTTTTTTCTCCATTGAGGAAATTATTTATTATACTTATGGTTTTAAATAGTAGCGTAGACAGGAAATTATTATTGGGGGGGGGGGGGGGGGAAGGCTCACTGTTGGAAAAAATGGCATTAAATTTATTTCATTTACAACATTTGTATTTTTTTAGGCTTACTTGCTAATTTATATGGACAATTGATATTTGAATATGATAAGAATTAAAACAACTAAGGCTATTATAAAATTTAAATATTAAGCTATAAAGGATGTGCAGTTTACAAGGACCTCCGACGACGTTAAAAACCTGCCACTAGTAATCACTTTTTTTTTGTCAGATAATATTAGAGATAAGCCAGTTGTAAAATACAGCCATCATGCTAATGTCATTAACCCAAACCCCACCCCATCTTATGCTCAGACCACTTCAGGCCAATCTTCAAATCAAAATCTACCCCCACCGGCATCTGATATCTATTAAACAATAACAAGTTTTCTAGAGGAGTTCAAATCTCTAATAAATCTTTTAATATCTCTACTTAATAAAGTAATAACAAGTCTTTTAGATAATAATAAATGATTAATAACACACACACAAGCAAATACCTTAACATTTTACTATTCAATGTAAGCGGCCTCAAAAATCGTGTAATTGAAATCCAATCAGTACTACAAAACTAATGTATTGATACTTCATTAATTACGGAAACATACTTTACTCGACACTCTAATATACGTATTCCAGGCTGCAAATTACCGAAAGGTAATCATCAAAAAAATACAGCTCACGATGGAGTCGCCATACTAATTAAATCCTCCATAGCATTCCAAGTTCTCCCAAACTTTTTTCAGAACTTCTTACAGTGCTGTGTGATTTTAATTAATATAAATTAAATCTTCGTAACAACTGCTGCACTATATTCACCTCTAAAATATATTGTTACACTTGCTGACCTTTAAAACTATTTTTGTACTTTTGTCAACAATTTTATAATTGGAGGTGAATTTAACGCCAAACACCAAAGTTGGGGATGTCGTACGAATAACCCACGTGGACTTGTCTTACGAGTTTCGCAATTATAAAAAAAACTTATAATACTTGCTCCCCCAGGCCCTATTTACTGACTAACTTCTGTTAGTTAGTACAAACCCAGATATACTCGATATATCTATTTCAAAAATCCCATCTAACTTATTTCACTCTACTGATAATATCTTGGACTTATACTTAGACCACTCTTTAGTCGTATTAACATTCAACGAATATCCATTAACTCACCCGGAACCTCTTAAACTTTTCAATGTCACAACTGATCGATATAAATTTTATGATCTTATTAATCAAAAAATAAAACTTAATATGAAATTAAAATCCACCGATGATATTAACTTAGCAGTAAATAGCTTCACAATTATAATTCAATCAGTGGTATGGCCAACCATCTTTGTAGTAAATCATTGTTCCTCATATCAACCTTCTTTACCGAGTTATATTTGTACACTCATAGCGGAAAAACGAAGAACAAGGGCTTTGTACCAAAAAAATCGTCTTCCATCTCTTAAACAAAAATACAATAACTTGTCTAACTCACTCTAGAATGTTTTTTTTTTTTTAAATAAATATGTATAATTTTCAAATCACTTGACTCTAGTATATTATAACCTCTCGACTAAAAATGGGATCTCTGGAAGGCAACAAAACAAGTTCTCCAATACAAAGCCTCATCGCCCCCAATAAATAACCCAGACGGTAGTCTTGCTTTTTCGGATGTTGAAAAAGCAGAACTATTTAAAAATCATCTTCATGAAATTTTGCAACCTTATCCTGAAACATTCTCACTAACTACTAAAAACCCTATACAAATGTATCTAGACTCTTCCCTCCCTATATTTCTACCAGTAAAACACTTGACGCCTAGTGATGTAAAATTTACAATACAAAAATACTCACTTAAAAAATCCCCTGAATTTGATTTAATTACAACGGAAGTCGCTTGATGCTTACCAAAACGTGTCATCATTCTCCTTACTCATATTTTCAATGCTACCCTAAGACTTTTTTACTTCCCTCTTCTATGGAAATTTTCTTAAATCATCCTGATCCCAAAACTGAATAAACTACTTGACTCCTTAAACTCTTATAGACCGATCAGCTTATTGCCGTTTTTCGGCAAAATACTGAAAAGACTTTTACTTAAACGTATCCTTCCTATCATGTTCCACCTACGTCTAAACTCACATCCAAACACAATCATAAGAAATTTAACTGAATTAACCATCCCTGGTATTTCTCCTCGTCGCCTTTAGCGAAAATGATGCAAAGATTTACTACACTCTTAATCCTTTGAAAAAAAAAAAAAAATGAAAAAAAATAGAATGTATGGTTAAAATAAAATAATTAAAAGACAAAGACTAAAGTGTCATCAGTGGGTGGCTTCTTTATTCAATATTTTCAATTTCTTTCTGTCAATAGCTCATACTCTAATTATGTTGATTTTGTACAGATTATGTATAAAGAAAAAAAAAGTATTAAGCTTTAAGTGTAAGGGAGAATTCTTTGAATTCCCTACCCCCGTGTCTACTCCACTGGTTTCAAATATGGTATTTTTTTTTAATAACTTGAATGAACTTTTTAATATATTTTATGTTAAACATATAATCGTATCTGTACGCATTGTAAATACGACGAATCCGATAATTGTAGTATGACGAAACCCATATGTTTTAAAAACAATCAAACTATGGTTTTGACTATAAATACAATAATATCAATATAAAATAAGATATATATATATATATACATGGTTAATAACCATTAATGACCATAACCATTGGTTATGTACTTTAGGCTTAAAACAATTTGACAATTTTGACAATTTTATTTCTTGATATTTTTAAAAAACCGTTTAAAAATGATTAAAAAAGTGAAATTATGTGAACATTTTTGAAAAATAGTTAAAATAATTTTTGTAAATGAGTAAAATCAGCAAAATCGCAACAAAATTGAAAAAATGTCGAAAAATTAAATTTTAAATTTTTAGATTTTCATTTGTACCTACACGAGACGCATTTAAAACATACTTATCGATAAATTGGAGTAGTAGAAAAAAAGTTGGAAATATAACAAAATCTGTGTCCTATTGATTACCATTTCTATAAATTGTTCATTCAACAAATTTTTCTTTTATAATTTCAATACATATGTATATAATTTTATAACTCTTATTTTTTTTCACATTCAACATTAAACGTTATTAGATGTTTATATTATACCTGAAAGTCCACCATAAATCGAAACACATAATATTCAGCCAGAAGAAACTTGCCAAACTAAAGAACTGTATAAAAACCCCTGAAAAATTAAAATCGGTGTTTATACCGTTTTAAATAATGGTTCTTAATTAAATAAAACTTAATGATTAGATTTTTCTAATTTTCTTATAGCTTTTAATCCTATAATACAAAAAATGTATTAAAGTTTAGAAATTATTAAGAATAATTAAATCTTAATAATTATCTTAGATTTCACCATTCTTTTCAATGGCGGATCCAGGCATGGTTCTGCGGCCGCGGCACTTTATTATATTTATTTGAAATTTAAACATTATATAGGCTTAGTAATGTACATACAAATATGATAATTGAATAATATTAATAATATTGATATAAATATATATAATAATAATAAATTAACAGAAATATTAACCCTACATAAATTATGATAGCTTAAATTAGATTAAACACTTTAACCTTGTTGAGATTTTCCATTCTGGTTATTTAAATCATTATTTATGTTATTTAATGTACTATCCAATTAATAATTAGCTCCTATGTGCAATTAGGTACTTTAGTAAATATTTATTTTGTATACAAGTACAGTTATTTACCAAGATACAAAAAATATATTCAGTTGTTTTTACAATGAATTATAATTATTACTTATTATTCATGTAAAAATGTTGTATATTCATTCATTGGTTAATTTATTAATCATCATATTGATAGTTGACAGTGCGTAATAATTTGTGATAAACCAAATAAAATATCATATTTTTAATATATCTCAAGTTTTGTAATGAATATCTAAATGGTTTTATAATTCAATAAATAAAATATTTCGTAAAAATAAGTTTTTTTTAGAATAATGATTATTTAAACAAAATATTTTACTTACCCATTAAAATACAAAAATATTGATCGATGCTGTTTATAAATCGATCAATGATTAAACTTGTGAAGGCTACTATAAGTGTTGCTGTATAACACATTAGAGACTTTCCATGTAAATTTTGTAATTCCACAATGAGAGCATACACGAGTAACGTCACGAACAAAAATGGTAGAGATATTATCAGTGCCACGATATTATATATTTTTGATGCTGTTTGCTTATTTTCAATTGCACACATAACGATCACAAGTTGAGAACCATTTTCGTTGTTTCGATCTATGCAAAATTGACCGGGTGCAACATTTGAACCGTAATTTAATCTTCCATCTTCAGTAATACCAAAAGACTTTACTTTTGATGGTTTTAACATCACCGTTCCAACATTATTATTACAAATGATTTTTTTTAAAACTAGGTGAAATTGGTCTGACTCGTATAGCTCAATTGACCCATTATCATTTACAGATTTTAGTACCTATAAACCATAAAATATTTCTTACTTTTGAAATGTTAAAAGTAAAAAATAATCAGTATTTAATATTTAATGATTAAGGTAAACATAGCATTTGATAGCTGATAAATGGTATTTATTGCAGCAGATAAAATGTATTAATTAAGGAATAAACATAATAAATTAGGACTCCTGATACTTGTTTACCCAAGTATCATTCGGATAAGCAGATACCCGGGTTTTTCAGGGATTGCCTGAGTATGCAATTCAATTACCCAGGTTTAAATAAAGGAGAAATATACAACGTTAAATTTACTTTTCTTATAGTTAAAAATAACTGAACTGAATGAATTTTAAAAAATATTGAGTTTTATTCAAATTTATTTTTCTTATGATGTGACAAACAACAGATGACAAAAAAATAAATAACAATATGATAAGTGTTAACAGAGAAAAAATTTAAAACACACAAACCGAATTCTTTAACAATGTTATTAATGAATTTTGTCTTAAAAAAAGATATGCCATTTTTATTTTCCAATTAATATTATAATAAACATATATGTCATAATGTTTTGAATTCGGATTTTTTAAGTTAATGTTTACAAAGTACACGTACTGTAGGGTTACCTACCTGTGATCAGACTCTAAAATCGTTTTTTAAAACTACACCATTATCACCATTCTAGTTAAATATTTGGCAAGACTTTTCAGTAACCTCTAAAATTGCACTTAGAAACTTTTGATGGGCTATAATTCGACAACCTATGTGTCTGTGTGAACTAGCTTTTTCTACTTTAATTTTTTTAAACTGAATTTGAATTTTGAAAGTTATTTAAGGCTTTCAGTTTTAATCTATATATTGATTCTCTCGTGAGGGATAATCAAAAATCACATTAAATTGTTTAATTATTGAATAATCTGATTCAATGAAGTTTTTTTTTTTTTTTTGTTAAACAATTGTTTTTTAATAAATAAATTGTAATTGATGTATGTGCACATTAAACATTTATAACTGATGGTGGGCCTCAAAGATTTTCCACGAAATTGTCGGTCCGCATAATAATAATAATAAAAATAATAATGTATAACAATAACCGCCGGTTATATTTCATCCATATCATCGACGGGTAGAATACCGGTTTGACGGCGTCTCATATACACAACTTTTGCAATTAATAAAACAAAAAAAAAACAAAAATGAGGAATGTCACGTCCAAAACGTGGGACGAAGTTCGCCGGTTAAATGTGTCACATTAGACTTACCGCAAGTTTCTCGAACGTGTAATTGGACGGCCCGCAACCCTTGTCGTATCGTACACGGCCCATCTTGCAGCATTTAAACACGCACGGTTTCTTCACCTCGTAACTGCCGTTGCTCGGACGGTACTGCGACGACGAATACCGTCGTCGAGGGTTTCCGGCCAATAAGAAGCCGCCGTCCACTAGGGTGCCGTCCGTTACCGGCACGTACGGGCACACATCCGTTGCATTCGTACTGCTGGCCACCACCGGTGTTAGTAATAGAAGTGCTAGCACTAACAGCGAAAACTTCGTTGGCGACCTTTCAGGCCTGCCCGTCATCTGGTACTACGAAGGTGGACTGATCACCTATTTTCAAGCTAAAAATGCGCGCACGCAAGAACAACCGAAATTTATGTCGGACAAGGCAGAGGAGAAATTAAACAGCCGAAAGTTTTCACTGCACCGACGACCGGTTGTTCTCCTCTCCGAGTGTTCGATAACCGGACGTATGACCGCACGCGATGACTAGGTAGTTTAAAACCCGATAGGATATTATGATCGAACGGAGAAGGGAATGGTAGAGCGCGCGTTGTTCACCGCCGCAGCCGTTTTTCAATATACCCATAGGCGTCACTAAGGGGTATCGGGGGGTATCTTTGCTCCTCTAGAAATTTTTGTGGGGTAGCGAGGGTATCTTGCTACCCCAAAAAAATTTATAGATCTTAAAAATATATTCGAAGTTTATTATTCAAGTGTGTACGAACATAGACCATCTATTATTGTGATTGTGTCCAAAATAATTATATTTTATAATAAGTCCAATACGGACAATAAAACAGTGTATGCACTATACGTCATACCAAGATTTATGAAGAAGAGTTAGCCTTATAAATAAGCCAGTTAAGCCAGTAAGCCAGTAATCATGTTAAACCTTTAAAAATTTATTTTTTAACTTTCTAAAAATAAACTTTGCTACCCCAAAATTTGGACTTAAGTGACGTCCATGAATATACCCGAGGCGTAAACTGGCGGTCGCACGAGCTCGCACTTGCGACCCTTGAAAATATCACTGGTTAATATTCGCGTAAACCAATATATAAATAAATAGTTAATGCTCAGTAATAAACAAATTAATTAATGAATGCGTAGCCTGGAGTATTAGTATATGTGTAATGTTTGATCGAGTTCGAATTAAAAATTCATATTAGGTAAATATAAAATTAATAAAATCATGACTGAAATTGAAAAATTAAAAGGAGGAATACATTGAGAAAAATTGATCGTTTTGTATACATAAGTATAATATATTTTAATAGGAGAGATTATTTAAAATGAGTTCTTATTATATATAAATATGATAAGAAATACAATTACTTTGGTATAATATTTATTATTATTTAAAATGTATTGATACAAGATATTATTTTTAAAATTGATCTGTACGTTCAAAATATTATTAAAATTATTTTTCTTTATTTCATTATGTATAAGTAATTTTTCTAAAACTAAATTAGTGTTATAAATATAAATTATTATATATTATTATCAAATTGTTATTTTAGGTATTTAATATTCTTAAGTCTTTATTGATATCAAAATTCATATTATACTATATTGTAGTTATTTTCTAAAACAAGTTCAGCGAAATTTGAATTTATTGATTAATTATTAATTTATTTATTTTTTGTATTCTTTTTTAATTTTATTTCAGTAATGTGTTCTTTTAATATTTCTATTTCTTTACCTGTTTAAAATGTATTACTAAGTTTTAACTTAAATTTAATTTCAATTGATTTTTTCAAATTTAAAATATAATAAACTAGAGTTTAGGGTGTGGGAGGGTGAAGATACAAAGTTCCCAGCAAGTTTGTTTGCCTTACAATCTGTTTGCAACCTTAAAAATTTAGTTCAATTCACGCCACTGCATTATACTATTGGAAATTCATTGATCTACGCAATGAATATAATTTATTTTTGATTATCAAAAAAAGGGAATAACCTCTTTTCGAGTTTACTACGAAAATCGTTTCTGACCTCTATTGATCACGGTTATAGATATTAGTATCTATATCCCTGCTATTGATATAGACTCTATATTATAGAATATTGTATTGATATATCAATACAATATTACACGTTACTCTCAAATTTATACAATATTATGCAGTAACACTTACATTATTTACCGGTTATTGTAGATAAGATAATAATGTATTTTTGAGTTCGAGCTCATCATACCCTGGTTCATATTATTATTAATTTGTTGTACTTTTCCGTAATCATACAAAAAATGAACCGTCCCTATTGCTATTAACCTACTACCTGCCAAGCACGTAGTCGAAAATATGTATTAGGGTGGCCAACAAATTTAGCCCTCATAATTTTCCATAATTGGCTTCCTACAAAAAACTTGTAGAATCTGTAGTGTGCACTATTAGACCCTAGTTCCCATTTAATATTATGTCTTCTATGAATAGACCCTATATTTAACTTTAAGGAAATGTTTTTATTTCGTAAATTGGTTCAATATTATATTTTATGATAATTTTCAATCATATTCTTTGGAGAGATAAATCAAAATTCACTAACAATTGCATTATGAATAAATAAAATTATCAATTCTGGAATGATATAAACTCAGTGTGAAAATTAGTTTCACATGACTATGGTACATATAAGTGGTGCACGTGACCATCGTGACTGCAATGTGGGGAATTAATGTATGGTGTGGGTTAGTTAATGGAAAGGTAATAGGACCGTTCTTTTATGATAGCACACCTAATGACAGAAAATATCTTAATTTTTTAAGGTTCAAGGTCATCCAACTGAGATATTTAATATTGCTTTAAATCGTCATCACACTGTGTTATATATATATATATAACGTGCATAACATTAATATGAAGAAACTACTATAATATAGCGATTACAAATACCAAATGGAAATTTTTATGCAAATTATCATAACGAGATAAGTTTAATATCAAAAACTGTGTTGTATATAATATGTCCATAGTGTTTGTACATCATTTCCAACTAAATAGTGGCGCAACTAGTGCTCAATCATTTGCGGTGCGATAATAATAATACAAGTATATCTGGTGTGTTCTGCAATAGGCTACATCGTTTATTGAATAAACTTTATTTGCATCATCTATTTTCAGTCTAACGAGTATTGCCGCATTCGTAACGAACTCTCAGGCTTGAAATTTAAAATTATTTATTATGTGCAATTAAAATAAACATCTGTTGGTTAAACTATACGGAAGAGAATTTCCTCAAAAATTATTTACAATATCTTATCATTATTGATATTTTTTTGAAAATCGAATAAAAATGTAATAGTCATACAAATGACACGTTCCAGTATTAGTGTTATATTTATACGAAGGCAATGAATTTATGTGTAATAATCTTGAAAGGAAACCACCAAAATTTAAAAAAAAAAAATCAAATTAATTGAATGTTACAAATAGTTATTATTTTGCACGAAAATATTGATGTAACTACCTTCCCGTAAAGAACGCTCATTAATATTACGTATTACTAACAATTTTTTTTTTCAACAGTCAATACTTCAAAATGAACGTTGTTAATACAGGCAGACATAGAAAGATAACAGAAAATGATTTTGAAATAAGTAAATATCAATTTCTTTCTTTGAATACATATAATATACTTTTATTGAAATTATTATTGAAATTGAAATAGATTTTTCATTTTTTCGTATTAAAAATAGTATGTAAGTTATTTTAAAAATGTTTAACAGTATTCACTTCAAGATGATTCAAGAAATTTAAAACATTATTTCATTATCACAAAAATAGTTTTTAAGTTGATCCAATAATTAGTTTTTCTAAATAATAAACAATCAATATTTTTTTTAATTAAGTTCAATTTAATAAAAGCAAATTGTATTTCCAAAATCATTTTGTATAAATAAAATAATTATTGCCATTTCAAAATAGACCGAAAATTGAATTCTTGATTTAAAATTTATTTATATAATTATTTAGTTGTTCTAAATCTATAAAAATCGTTTATATATATAATTAATTTTCTTTTTGTCTTTATTCAATATAAAAATATATTGTTTCTTCTGATATCCTAAATATATTATTGTACTTTTTTTTAAATATATTATTAGGAAGGCCTGGTCAATATAAGGTACCTCGTGTTAAAAAGAGTCAGTCGGATATCAAACAAACAAATTCAGACAACCAATCGAAAAAATGTGACTAACGATGGAAGCATAGTTCGTTCTCGTTTGGTGTGTAGATCTGATTTACTAACGTCTGGTGACAAAATTAAAGTAATATCAGATGTGGAAACAGAAAGCGTATTAAAATGGACTACGTCATCTTCTACATCGAGACAAATAATCCATACAAACAGTTCTAAGCTTCCAACGTCGATGGAAAATGACAGTAATTTCGTACCAAAATACGACATAAGCCAACAAATTGAAGACTTGATAGTCAAAAGCAACACTCCTCGTCAACTTATTAAAACTGCATCATCTGTAAATTCAACTAGGTGGTATATGAAATAAACCAATGTTGGCATTACTTTCATATCATGCACACATTTATTTTGAAATAATAAATAAATAATTTTTTAATTAAAATTAAATTTTTTCAGTGTTCCTGTGGTTTCGCAAGGTTTGCGAAACAAATTGCGTAATCCTAAACTAACAAAAATATCAGATAATAGAAAAGAAATAACTAATACTGTTATATTAGGTAGATACAACTTAAGTAATGATGAATATGGCTCACATATTGATGAATTAATTTATAATTATTTCTAGGTTTGACAGAAGGTAGAGGTTCAGCTCAAGGTGAAATCGGTTTGGCAGCAATTGATTTAAAAAGACCAGTTTTAATTTTATCTCAAATAAGTGATACTCAAACGTATATGAACACTATAAATAAAATAAATATTTTAAATCCTGCAGAGGTAATTTTTTTAAATAATTAATTGGACATTTCTGGTTTGTTTGTAAAGTTTACGATGTTCTACATTCATTTTTGGTGAACATTTATACATTAAGTTGGAAGTAAAAATAAGCATTAACACTGAAAATAATTGTAGAACCAAATTACTATAAATAATGAAATTATATTTTTTTATTAGAATGATAAACGTAAAAAATATTTATCATTATTATGGTTCATCGTTTGGAGGGGGAAAACTAAGCCCTTCCAAACCACCCTAAATAGACCTATGCATCTACCTATATTTTTTGTAGATATTATTAACTATAATTATATAACTATTCATTATAACTTTTCATTGTATGAATGAAAATTAAATAAATAAATAAAATATATAAATAGATAAATTCCAAGATAATTTAAAAAAATATGTGTTTTTTAAATAAATATATTATTCTATAGAATAAATACATGTCTGTAAAAATTATTTTTCAAGATATTAATTCCGAAAACATTTATGGATCAAATGCAAGGTACTTTATTGTTTAATACAATTAAAAACCAATTTCCATTAAGCTCTATAATTACTGTATCACGGAAACATTTTTGTGAAAATGATGGTAAACTTTATTTGAAGAATTCTGTAATACCAGAATGTGCTTTAACATTGGAACAAGTGTTGCCAAAGTAAGAAATACTTTCGATAAGGATATATTGTTATAAATTTGAATTTGATACGTAGTTTAATAAATTATATGTCTGTAGATTTTACGCAGTATCTGCCGCAGCAGCGTTATTGAAACATATTGAATTCAATCATAATGTTACATTTTCATCAAATACGCTAAATATTGAGTACAAAGGAATTGAAAAGTCTATGTTTATTGGTAAATTTATCAAAGTTAATCAACTTTTTATTAAATTAGAATTTATTAAATTATATGCGTTAAAACATTCGAATTTACTATTTACTATTTAACTTACTATAAATTAACTTTCATTCAAATTCCTTTTGGACCTTAATTTCATAATTAATCACCTAATTTCTCTCCTCACTGCAAATTTACTTAATGCGATGGTTGACGTTATACTTGAGACACAAGTTTTTGAACATCGTATAAAAATAAGATCTATCTGTTATATAATAAAAAATAAATGAAAAAAAAAATTTTAAAAAATAATTCAATAATATTGTAATAATGCACTCATGTCACGTATTATAACTTATGTTACATATGTATGTATTAAGGCTGCCGTGGACTCCTAAAAGTCCCCGAATTACAGATTAAGTACCGCTGTTATATAATAAATAGTATGTAATATGTACCTATTCAGTGGCGCCCACAGGTTTTCCATGAACCAGTGCAATTATAATTATAGGGCCTCCAAATTAATTTTGGTTTACATCCATTCGACCATATTCGTTTAATTTTTCACTTTTTTAAATGCATGTTTACTTTAAATAAATTTAAAAATATTACAAATTCTTGTACAACATTTTTTTGATAGGGGTTTGAATTTAAAATTTTACAAAAAAAAAAAAAATCTTCACCGTATTGCTCAGGGCAATTTTTCAAATACAATTACTTATTAATTATTAAAGATTTCAAAGTTAATACTACAATATACATAATAATTTTTAATTTAAGGCAGTGAATATGTGTTGACTTGCTTTACAAAATATATATATTACTCCATCATAACTTATTTTTATATGGTAGTTACATAACATATTAACGTCATAGCATATAAACCTTGGGGCAGCTTCCTGAGTCCTGACAAAAACTATAAACACAATCAATATTATTATAGTTATCTATATTAGTTATTCTATATTTATATTTGTTTGTATATTTGGCATTGCTAACTCTTAATATTTTATTCAACGATCTAAAGATCCAGATGAATAGTTATGCATTAATAGTATTTGCTCCAGAAACCAGAGTGAGGCCTTAAATGTATGTAGGCCCCGGCACCCATGTGAAATCAGTGCAATTGCATTACTTGGTACTTTACGTGGATGCCGTTGTACCTATGTATACCTATTTACGTAAATCGTTTAATCAATTATGTTATGTTACGTCTTGCGTACAAAATGGTGAATTCAAATGTATTTTTAAGTTTTAACAGAACATACAAGACATCGGTCCTTTTACTGTCAGAATGACAAACAATTAAATGTTAAGCAATTTGAAATTTAAATTTAAATTTGAATCAAATATAAGTTATAATAAAACATTGGAACTGGCAAGATGCAACATAACATAATTAATTAAACGATATATGAACATAGGTACTCATGTGTAGGTATATATGATGTAGATACTATATAGTATATAATATTATAGGTGTAAAAAATAAATTGCCGCAACTTGCATAATGTACCTTATGAATTTTTTCTCAGATTGTATAATGATAAATTTTTTCTTGCCGCAATTTACATGGGCGAATGTTAACTCTCCCTATGAGCTGTAAATTCTCACGGGTCTACTGCAGTACTATCTGACGGTAACTTTTAATCTTTCCTATGTTTACTTCAGTGCTATCTGACGGGAATATATACTCTCCCAGACCTACTCCAGTACTCTCCGAAGGGAGAATGTAAACTCTTCCGTGTATGATTGGACGGTTTTTAAGAAAAAGGGTTTAATCATATTTTACAGCCGCGTTGAATGGTAGCACTGTAGATGTCTTGTGAGATTTATTTATTAGTTTATATTTTTTTACTTATATTAAAAAACACCAAAACTATTTAAATCAATAATTTTATATTAAAAATATTTATTTGTTTACATAATATTATATGTATCTTTTACAAGTTTTACTATTTTGATTAGATATACAATAATATCCAGTTATATTATTTTTTAGTCATATACATACACAGATATGTATAATAAACTAGATTGCTAACTGATTATAAGATGTGAAGCCATTATCTGCCATTTTAATCGAGGCCGATGTAGATTTTGCCTTATCAATTTTTATCATTAATTGTCAGTTGTGCATTTATTTAGAAATTATAATAGTTTATACTATATTTCCAATCATGCCATATAAGTGCTGTGTTGATGGATGCCGTAGCAAGGACGGGGTTGTTGGTTCAACTACGAAATTATTTAGGTAATTAAATACTCAACACATAAATCATGTCACCTCACGAAGATTCTCTTTTTTCAATTAAATGGAAAATAAAGCACCAGAACAAAATTTAGAAAATGAGCTTGATATTTCATTGTTAGCAGAACAGTACAATAAATTAGATTTTAATAGTATCACTGAAAATATATTATACTACATATGTGGATATATTGTTAAAAAACTAATCCCAACTTTAAAATGTGATGGTTGTATTGAAGCCATTACAGAACCATTCATTGAAAATGACCACATTTATCAAAATAATACCACACCAAAAATTTTTACAATTATGAAAAACAGAGGTGGTTTGAAGTATGCTTCTGATGGGGTGTACAAAATTGTTAAATTGACAGAAACATTATTTAAAACCATTATGGTGGATAAAAAACAAATGTTTATTAAAAATATGGATTTAAAAATTATGATAAGTGTACAAAACTCATTAGCGACAAACGCTATACTATTTCCAGAATGTGATACTTGCTGGAATTCAACAGATTTATTGGCAAGACCTCACAAAATTGACATTATAAACAAAGTAACCAGAACCTACCTTAATGTGAGATTATATTTTTATAGTAATATAATAACATCCTCGATTATGAAAACTGCTAGTAAACGACAGAAACTCAGTAAAACCATTTTATTTTATAACATGTAAAAATTGTTAACCTATCAGAATAAACTATGTTAATAATTGTTATTTATATTTAGATGGAAAATTTATATAAATGAGAAAAATAAAGTGCAATAAAAATGTTTTTTGTTTGGATACTTGTTCTATAATTTATTTATTTTTTTTATCAGTTTCTTTATCAAACAAATCTAAGGCTGTGATAAAGCCCATAGGCCTCGAATTAAATGGCTGTCGTCTGCTTCAACTAATCACATGCGTAAGATGCAACAGTTAGCAATCTAGTTTATTATACATATCTGTGTATACATATTCAATGTATATGTTACGGTGAATCATATAAACGAAGTAAATGCCGTGATTCCTCGATAAAAACCTAAAAATTGGTAAATTTGTAAATATAGACATTCACTGGTTATTGACGTCAATCTTCAGTTTAGTCGGAGAACGATGTACAGTACATTTATGTCGGTATGAACATCAGTGATAAGTGTATACGTGACCAAACAAAGTTTTGTTAGTTAAAAATATCATAACGAAAGTATTTAGATAAGGGAAAACCTGACCATAAAAATAGTAATAATGCCGATAACCCAATTAATAATATTAAATGGTCTATTTAAGTTTGCAACTTTCCGTTTTGACGAGCTTCGTGACATAAGCATTCGCTATTAATTTAAACAAAAATGATCGGCCAATTATAATTTAAATATTTTACTTATCGCGTATCCGCCCTCCGCTCAGCTGGTGACGTCCGGAGACGAATATTTTATGGGTATACTACTCCATGATGAGAACCTAGTAGGTTTTTTAAAAAATATTCGACGTTTGTACAACGACAGGAACAAAAAAAAAGTGTGATGAAGTGCACTTTTACCAATGATATATTGCATTATATTTATTATTAATTATTATTGAAAGTGATGAATTGCCATTAATGCGATCGTTGCGCTCCTAAGAGAAAATGTTCACTGGCAGCGGAAGCAAATCGCGTTGTCTTGATATCAAGTTTATTAGTTAGTATTTATACATATATTTCAATGAGTTATATATGTTACCGGAAAAGATGACAATCAGTCCGTGTTGATAATGACTAGTCAATAACGATAATGCCTGATTTAGTAAGGAATTAATGTCAATACCTAGTCATTTGTAACAATTCCTAATAAAAGAAGGCATTGATAATAACATTAAAAATTAATTTAATATATTTTAATACTTATTAGCTATTTAGGATAAATCATAATCTTAATCTTTATTGTTTCGTGGTAAATTACTATGACACTTGGAATTTTATAATCTAGTACAGCGATATCCAAACTGTGCTCCGCGAAGCCTTTGGTGCTCCGCAATGGTTTGCCTAGAGCTTCGTTCGTAACATCACAAAAAATTTAAAAAATGTTCGTCATTTTAAATTAATATATATTTCATGAGGACTTGAATGTTCCATAATCAGATCGATCACCTAACCTATAAAGCGGTGTTGATATTTGTTTGAATGCGGATTATAACATTGCCTAACCTTTCCAGTCATTGTCAACAATGACTAGGATATACTGACAATTCCTGATTTTTCATCTTTTCCGGTAACATATATATATATGCGGCGAGTACGTGTTTTATAATTATTTATAATAATTTGTGTTACTCGTGAATATTATAGCGTTTTAGTTAAACTGAAATATAATATTCAAGTATAGAAAACCAGAATAAATTTAAAGTAGCAATTGAAAAAATTATCAACAGTAAAAAGAGGTATGACATATCATTTTAGTTAGATGATGGCTGTGTTAAAAACAAAATATTGTAATGTGTGAACAGAGGTAGTTATGGTATATTCAAACTTACACAGTAATTGTCAAATAAAACAATTGAATCCAAAAAGAGGACTTGTGAAAAAAACCAATTTTAAATTCCGCTTTTAATTCAAGGGCACAAATTGGTTTGATTGACATACAATTGCAAAATTATAATAATTATAGCTTTATAATTAATTATTAAGATTACTTAACTAAATTTGTCATTTTAAAACCTAACCTTTTGATAATAAATCAAAACCCTGGCCAATGACATTAAAATTTGTATAATTTAAAAAATCGGGCTTTAAACTCAGCTAAAAAAAAATTACTTTTATTTTTATTTATGTACTGGTATATAGTTTTTTAATTAAGAACCTAAAATAAAAAATGAAATAGCCACTAACAATAAATCAGTTTTAAATACCTTTAAGTACATATAGTAAAACAACCAATTCATTATTTGAAATTTATCATAATTTACCATGAGCTTTGGTAAATAACGTTAATGGCCGATAAAAGATGTAAATTTGAATTTTAAATGTGTTTTATTACAATATTTATCTAAATAATTGAATCATTTTAGTAAATTACGTCATTCACTAATTGTCATTTTTTACCGTAACATATATATTTTATCAATCATACCAATAACTATGTAAATTTTTTATTATTATATATAGAAGTGTGCAAATTGAAAAATATGGTTTTTTATTTAAATGTTAATCTTAACGAATAATAATAATAGAATAATAATCTTTGTACATTTAATTTAATTTAAAAAAAGTCGTTATGGGCTAATAATAAAAAAAAATCATAAAATAAATAAAATACACATTTAAATGTCTGCTGTGTAGCCAATTCATAGTGTTACAATAACATAGAAAACAACTCGGGAGAGTTTCCAACAAGCAACTAAATGTTGACCCGGGAGAGCTGGCCGCAGCTAATTTCCTCCAAAAATGAGATAACGTTTTCCTCCACTGTCTATTTTACACCACTTCTATTTTCCTCTAAATAAAGGTTTATTCCATTTTCCTCCAATTATTATAGATGCACTTGTTGATTATTCATTTTCCTCCACTTACCAGTTATTATAATATTTATACCTACTTCTCTTCTATCCATTTTCAAATACAATACGTACTATTTTTCAACTAATAATTTATAAATACACATAAGTATCTACTTGTATTTAATTTTCATAAAAAAGCAATTACTATGTATTATTATTATATTTGATTTTTATATATTAAATTAACATTGGATATAAATAATTATTTTATAACTATAAAAAAGTATTATTCTTTTATATTGAATAAGCCAATATCGATAGAAATTTCAAAGCTCATATAATAATCTATTATACTTAGTAGCTCGCGTGCTGAGAAAGTTCAAAGTATTTATACTGTACTATTACAGCAGTAACGATACACTATTAACAACTAGTGTCATTCATATTTTTTTTTTTCAAAATGTTAGACCACAAATAAATGACCATTTAAAAATATATATGGAGGAAAATAGTACCTCATTTTTGAGGAAAATGGTTCCGTTTGAAGAGTTTACATATTTCCTTCAAATAAACATAATATTGACTGGAGACAGTTTACACATCTCCTTCAGGTTAATACATTGACCCGGGAGGGTTTACTATACAATCGGGAGAATTTACCAACGCCCATTTACATACCGACTTTTAGAAAAAGGTTAATTTTTCCGCAGTTTACATACAGCCATTATTATAATATAATATATATATTATATCAAAATGAATTATTATCAGGTAGAGTCATCAATTGGTGAATTCTGACCTTATGTTTTTGTTTGTTGTTATCTTTGCATATTGTTAATGTTATATTTAAAGCATTAACTCTCCATGATTATTTTCACAAATGGTGTTTAATTTTTTTTATTATTTATTATTTTTATCTATTATTATTTCATTATGTTTAATTACTTACATTTAACTTATTGTTATTCTACATATTAATTGTGTAAATTTAATCATTTAATTGTTAAACTGCAGTTTTTACAAAAAATTTTAAAATTTTAGAATAAATAAATAAAATTTACTTTTATTAAATAACTTTTATATTAACTCATAGCTTATAGAATAATTAATTATTAATGAAGGGTATTGATATTCATTAAGATTATCTTATCCCATTTTATTTTTTTTTTTTTATAACACTTTTGTGGTATTAAATAGTACTTAATTTTTTTATATATTTTCTGTAAACTAAAAAATTCCTAAATGATAAAATTCATGAGTGTAATGAAAATAAAATGTTAAAACGTTAAAATGTTCAAGAGAATAAACTCAAAATTTACTTAAATTACTTACTCAAATTTTTAAAAATATTAATTAATTTAAATTAATTGTTTTGAAATGAGTAACTAAAATAAAAATACATATTTCAAATATGAATATTTGCAGTCCTTATCTATATGAGTTATAAAAAAATAATTTGATTATCTTAATTAATATTAAAAATAATAATTTCATTATCTTCATTAGGAAGGTATCTTAAAGGATAACGAGATGAATAATCTTCATGGAACACCTTGATATGAAGATATAATACAAGTATTTGTAATTAGCAATTAATATTCGAATAGAAAATATAAGAATAAATTATGGTGATTAATTGAACTATTAATGATAGGTCGGGATGGTATAATGTTTTATTGATGACATTTACTATTAATTTAACTAAAAGTGTACTAATACTGATTAGTATATTTTCGAGTTATTACATTATAAAATTTATTATATATTTAAGAATGTGTATATTAAACGAACATTTATGAGAAATTATCATTTAAGCTTTAAATATAATTAAATTAAAATTAATTAGGTATATGTTATTTTCCAGACCCAAATTCAGCATTGAGACTAGAGTTAGTTTTGAATAGTTCCTTAAATTCAAAAAATACTCTCTATGATGTTTTAAACCATTGCATAACAGTTGGAGGCGAGAGAAGATTGAGGTCTTCAATTCTTCAACCTTCTAGTGACATTCAGTTGATACATAATCGCCAAGAAGCCGTAGAAGAAATTTTAAACAACCAAGAACAATATTTGACATTACTTAAGGTAAATTTTATACATTTGCCATATGTCATCAAATATATGGTTTTAATTGCACTCAACAAAACGCCTTTTTAAAATTGTTTGATATTAGAACGTAATTCAAAAGTTCACTGACGTCGAACAACTATATTGGTTATGTACCAAAGTTTCTAAGAACACTCAACACATGTCTAAACTACAAGGGAATTATACTTTGCTATTGAAAACCACTTTGATAGCATTACCTTCCCTTGTTGATATTTTAAAACCATTTAAATCTGAATTTATTTCTGATATACGCAAAGTTTGTATTAAAAAAATTAAAATTTACTGTAGAATTATATATTATTGTAATTGTTTTAGAAATTATCATGTTCCGGATACTCAAAAATGTTAGAAATAATTGAAACGACAATAAATAAAGAATCTACTAGATCAAAAGGCTTTTCACAATCGCAGTTTCAAAGATGTTTTGCAATAAAGTCTAATTTGAATCCTTTATTAGATGTCGCTCGTACTATTTATAGTGAATTAATTAAAGAGTTTCATGGTGCATATATTTAAAAATAGCTTACTAATATATTGTATATACTATAAAGTATATATATAAACATACAATGCTATATCAAGTATTCATGAAATATTAAAATGTTCTATTTTAGATAAAGTTAAAGTTTTGGGTGAACAACTGGGGACAGAACATTTATTCCTACAAAATTCCAATAAAAGAGGATTTCATGTTCAGGTAGAACTAAAAAATTTAAAAAATTTTAACGTCAAACATCCTCCAAGTATTTGTAAAAACGTAAGCTATACATTAAACCATTAATATATTAGTTTATAACGATAACAATTTCATTTAAATAGGTGGAGTGCATAAAAAATCTTGTAAAATTTACAACAGAAGATTTAATAGTACTAAATATTCGTATAACTCAAGTACTGAATGAAGTGGAATCGTTAACTAATGCGTAATTTTAATATTTTTATTTTTGTTCATATTGTATGTTAAATGCTTAAATCAAATTATTTATCATAATTTTTAATGTTATTATACTAGGTATATTTTTTGTCAATATTCCATTATTATTGTAACAGGATCTTCTTTTGATATTCACTAGGGAAATTCCTTTTTTTGATTGCATTATTCTACATAGCTCATATTCAAAATATTCTAGGATCTTGAATTTGTGTCTATAAGCGTGTGTAGAGGTAGTCAGGATAGATACTTAATTACTCTGTGACGAACTTTCCCCCACTACCAAAATATTCAATGATAATCATAATATACCACATCGGCACGTCTTTAAATAGTAAAATATTAGAATATAAGAAAAATGTAATTATTAAGTTAAATATGGTTAACCCATCTAAATTATACTTTATTCTATTTGTGAACAGTAATGTTTGCGCACGTTCATATTTGTGTACCAACATTTTTTCTTGTTTAATACAAAACTGCATCATATCTATATTATAATATTTTAAATATAGGGTATATAAATTATATGGTATATACTACATTCCAATACTTCTTAGTATACATCTGCAATATGATATTTTGTATACGTGATAATTAATACTAAAAATCATGCATTATAATTCGAAAGATATTTTATTTTTTAATCCTAAAGTTATCAGTATAATTGTGGACTTTCAATTAGGTACATAACTAAATTAATTGAAAATATATATCACATTCCAAAATCTTAAATAGTTGTTTGTTAGAAGCATCAAAAACGAATACCTATTCTTTAATTTAATTGAAATTATTTTTTTTTCAGAATGTTGTTTGAAATGCTAAAAGAATTAAGAAAGTATATGAGTTGCATTTACGATCTGTGCAATAGTGTTGCTGAATTAGACTTAATATTTTCATTTGCTCACTATAGTATGCGTTCAGGATTAATTAGACCGAAGTTTGGACAATACATGAGTGTTAAAAATTCTAAACATCCAATATTAGATTTGATTAATTCAGTTGTACCAGTTGAAAATGATATTGTAAGAATCATAATATTATTAAACAAAATATATTTCTGTACTTTTATGTTTAAAGTTATTAGAATATTTTATTATTTTTAATAAGGGGTCAATAAAGGAAAAAAAATGACACAAAATTGGAGAAAGAGTTTTATGTTTATGCCAATATTTAAAGGCAAAGGAGACATATAGGAATATGAGAACTATAGATGAATAAAGTTTATAAGTCGTAGTATGAAGATTTGGGAAAATATTATAGAGAAGAGAATAAGAAGTGAGATATTAATGTCAGATAATCAGTTTGATTTTATGTCTGAAAATTCGACGATGGAGCCATTATTTTGTGCTAGACAACTAGTAGAGAGATTTAGGGAAAGAAGAAAAAAAATATACAATTTATAATAACTTATAGGATTCAGAAAAGGCGTATGGCGCAATACTAAGAGACGTTTTAAAGCGGGCATTGATTAGAAAAGAGGTCCCAAAATACATATAAATTTGATTCAGGGTATGTATGAAGGTTCAAGAACTAGTGTAAAGAGTTTGTGTGGAGTAACAGAAGATTTAAACGTAGGAGTTGGCGTGCATCAGGGGTCGGCTTTAAGCCCTTATATGTTCTCTGTGGTAGTGAATGAAGTTATGAAAGACATACAGGGTGAGATACCATGGTTGTATGATATTTGGTGATAATATAGTGATATTTTGTAGGAGAAAATCTGGCTGAAGTTAATAATAGGTTGGATGAGTGGAGGTTAGCCCTTGAAGGAAAAGAATTGAGAATTAGTAATAATAAAACAGAGTATATAAAGTATGACTTTGGAGTAAAATACCAAGAAATTGAGGTTATGAGAAGACCAATAACAATATGCGGTGAGCTTATAAGTGAAATCGAAAACTTTAAATATTTAGGATCATTTGTACAAAAGGACAGGATTTTGATATTCATGTAAAACATAGGTTGGATGAAATGGAGACAAGCGTCTTGTGTTTTATGTGATAAAAGAATTCCAATGAGGTTGAAAGGTAAATTTTATAGGTGTGTCGTGAAACCAATTAAGTTATATGGTTTAGAGTGTCGACATGTGAATAAAACTGAGTATGAGTGTTGCGGAAATTAGAATATTTATATGGATGAGTGGAGTGACAAGAGAAGATATAATAAGCAAGGGATATGTAAGAGGTAGTATTGGTATATCATCAATAGTGGACAAAACAAGGAAAAATAGACTAAGATGATTTGGGCATATGATGAGACGAGAGAAAACATAAGCAGTATGAGTAGTTATTAAAATTAACGTTTTGACGAGATAATAATCGTAAAATATACAAAGAGATGGTTAGATACAATTGAGAATGATATATGGGCTGTTGGTATGTGTGTAAGGGATGTAGAAAATCAAGGCGAAATTTAGGACAACAGAATAGTGGCCGACCCTAAATAGTTGAGAGATAGGAAACATAGAAGAAGAAGAAGAAGTATAAGAATATTTTATTATTAATGCGAAATTTATTTAATTTAAATATTTTATGTAAAATAAAAAAAATACAAATACATTTTAGAATTAATATTTAAATTTACATAAAATAATATGAAAAAATAATTGTATTTTTAATTGTTTCGTTAAATCATAAATTATATATTTAATCGTTTTTTTTTTATTTATAATTAAATTTAATTAGTTCGCTTCAACTGATAAGAATTTAAGTATTATCACCGGGCCAAATATGGGTGGAAAAAGCATTTACATACGTCAAGTAGCATTATTACAAGTTATTGCCCAGGTTGGTTAAGACAAAGTATCTATAAAATATCATTAGACCTTATATAAATACCTTAGTTAATTGTAAATGATGAAATACCTAAAACTGATTTATAGTTTCAACTAAGCTTAATCGAACCTACCTATACTTAAAAATATTTATAATTATTTAGTTTGATTATGAAACATTTTAAATTTTAGATTGGATGTTTTGTTCCTGCAACAGAAGCTCAGTTTCGAATTTGTGATCGATTATTCACAAGAATAGCTTTTGGAGACAGTATTGAATCGAATGCATCTACTTGGGTTTTAGAGGTATAACAATAAAAAAAAAATTTTTTTTATATTCTATTCAGGTGGCTGTTACTATAACAATTGTTGTTGTTATAATAAATTATAAAAATAACCGTTGATAAAGACCTCTTCGGTCTTCATAGTAAATTCGAGAAAAAAAAATACATTTTATTCAGGATAAATAAAATAAACATTACTTAAATAATAGTTTTCAAACAATATTTCAGATAAATAAAAATGTTCATTGTCATGAAATTGAATCATTATTAGTTTTGATTTTATAAACAAGCATAATTATGAAAATTTTAGTATCAGTAAAAATGTCAATAAAAAATGTATTTGATATTATCTAAAAAGAGCTGAAACTAATAAATGTTGAACTAATAAAATATTAAAATCATTGCCATTTCTCAAAAAAGATATGAATATTTTTATATTATTTAATTTATAAATAAATATTTTACTATCAAATTTGTATTTTTTGGAATATTTAAATAAAATAGTGTCCAGTATTATCAAAATATTTGTTTTATTGGCAGTAAAAGCTGAGCCATGTCCTTATATCAGAATAAGCTTAAATTAATTTTTATATAAATCAATATTTGCGATTGAAGTCATAAGCGCCAAAATGAGATAACCAAAAATGATGTCGTATCGTACAAAAGCGCTAAAAATCCTAGGTACGCACAGTGTGTAATAAATGTAGTGCAAATGTATTAAAGTACAGATATGTGAAAAAAGTAAAATTAAAAAATCAACCAATTTATTAAATTTATATTTATTTGCATGTATAATGTATATCATAATTTATTATTGATATTTTTTTTATAAAATTGCAATTTTTTAATAAATACTTACATAAAACATTCATTTTGACACTTATATTAGATGTTAGATATAACAAGTGTACAATATTAGATTGGCGTTTATGTATTACACATTTTGGCGCAAATGATAGGTAATTTTTGTACCTTTGGCGCTTATGTCATATAGCCTAATATTTGTAATGAAAAGTATTAATTTTTTGATGATGTTATTATTTTTTAATACCTGCTATATCAAATGATCCATATGGTGTTTAAGTATATTTTACTTTTACTTTTATATAGTTAATACATTTCTGCATTTTAGTAAATTTTTATAACTTACATTTTTTGCTCATTATTCACTCATCTATGATTTTTTAATTATAAATAATTATTTTAAATAGAACTCACAAGGTACTATCTAAGAATAATGTTCATTTATTTTGAGATCACTTTAGATTTTCAACTAATAATTTTTTTTTTTTTTTTTTGTATTTTAGATAAAAGAATTAAATGGAATACTTCCTTCACTTACAAGACATAGTTTAGTTATTATTGATGAATTGTGTCGAGCTACTTCTTGCGAAGAAGGATCCAGTTTAGCATGGGCGATTTGTGAACATATAATGCAATCCTGTGCATTTATATTCTTTGCTACGCACAATATTTTTATAACAAAACTTCAAGACTTGTACTGCAATGTACTCAAGTAACAATATAATATTATATTTTTGTATTAATATATTAACGTGACCATGTGATTATAATGCAATAAATAAAAAATAATGATATACTATTTTCAATAGACATTTAAAAGTCTATAACTATAATATAGTGAATTAAAGTACACTCTTGTCTCCATCCATTATTCTATGGCCAACTATGAATATAAATACATTTACGAGTATATCAGTCAACCTCATTTGTTAATTACTGTTTAATGTTGGACCACACTAAAGTTTTCCTTAATTAAATTTATTCCAGATAATAATCAGCTACTCCAATTTCAATTTTGATATTTAAAATAAAGTAAATACCTAGTACACGAAATTATAGGTCGTATGTCATAATACATTTTAAAAATGGGCTAGATTAATTTCTTGCTATACTGGAATTTTTGTACTTCTATCGTAGTCTTATGTAAACTGGATTTACAAATCGAATCATTTATCCAGTAACCAATTAGACTGTAGATTATATCGTGTCTTTAAATTAGAAAAAAAAACTTTTTTTAAATTATATTGTTTTATAGTTATCACATGGAGGCATTATTTTCTTCAAGTGGTTTATCTTACACTTACAAATTACGATCAGGAGTAACGAATATTGATGACTATGGATTAACTTTGGCTAGGGATGTAAAAATGCCTGAATACTTAGTCGAACATGCTATACAAATTGAAAAATGTTTACGTCAAACAAAAATAGTGAGTAACTAATATGATAGACAATATTATTCTATAATAGTTCCAGTACTTTGAATAAATATCACTTTTACCATAATAATAAAATAAAGGCTAAACCAATGCCTCGTATTCATCATACTAAAATCTGTTTGATAAACGATATGAGACCTACTGCATAACAGTTATACAAAAGGTCTCATATAGTTTTATACTATATCCGTACAAATAAGTAAATGCTAATTTTGATCATAGAATAAAATTGTGATATTGTTGCAGTACATAATACTTCATACCTACTTACAATTACCCTCGATGTTATCTATTTTAAAAATGCCGGACTGATTAATTTTTATCTTTAATTATTTCCTATCAATCACTTTAATTGTTATAATTTGTCGAGGTTTGTTTTACACGAAACAATTAACGGGTCACCGGAGTCAATAATAGTGGGCACCACAGATGAGATTATTTTTAATTTCAATAAATACTTACATTATTCGTCGTGCCACAGTAATTCAATATTACTATCAGGTATAGTGGTCAGGTTTGGTTCACATATTATACAAACCTTGATTTGGGTTTATTATTGCAAATTTCTGTATTCTAATCATATAACTTTCATTACACCACTTTTTAGTCGTTATTTTAATTCTCGGACAAGATGATGATAATCTGAATAAGATTTCTTAATAGTTAGTAAACACTTCAAGTCTTACGTACCATTTATTTTGGAAATAATAATAACTAAAATTTACTTTATGGTATCCAACTTATATATTTAATATTACACAAAAACTTGTATATGAGATTCTTAATTAGTTTAAGTCAAAATATCATTTAATTTTGAGGATTTTGTATTTACTATAAATAGTTCTTGAAAAAAATACTAATTCAATGTTTTCAAATCCAAAATCCGGATTTTCAAACTTCAGCGAATCTGGATTTTTTCTCATCACTAATGCACATACCAACAGTCCTCATATCATTCTCAATCGTATCCAACCTAAATCTCTACTTTGATCTTACTCTACCCCGTTTTCCTTCAACATTCAATTAATAAAGACTCTAACTGTTTTATCGTGTTCCTAGCTTCTCATACATATAAGTTAATAAATAACTAATAGCTAACAAATAATTTTGTATAAACAAGTATCGATTATTGTAAGCTCATAGGATGTTGCGAAATCCAAAACTTTTTCTCCAGCTTCATTCCTCTCAGTAAATCCAGACTCTCCATGCATTCTTTCTTACTCTACTCTCTTACTACCTACATGTCCATTTATATCACCACTAATTACAGTATCATCATTTACTGATATTTCTTGCAACACCTTATCCATTTTTCGCCAAAACTCTTATTTTTTTCTTTTCATTACATTTTACTTGTGGCTCATACGCATTTATTACGTTTAATAATTTTTTTCTCAAATACCAATTTTACCGTAATAATTCTATCAATTTTGATTCCTACGTTAACTACCTTAATTTTCATTTTTTTTACGCAATATTACTCCAATCCCATTCTTAAAACTAGTCTTACCTGAAGATATTATTTTATAGCCTTTTCCTATTTAATTTGCTTTCTCTTCTTTCTACTTAGTTTTCTGAACACAACAAATATTAACTTTCCTCCTTTTCAATACTTCTGCTAATTCTCTACTTCTGCCAGTTAACTTTCCAAACACTCCATGTGCTTATTCTAACTTTATACCTATTTCTTATACTAAGACGCTGGTTTAACCCGAGGCGCAATTGTGATGTCCCTACACTATTGACATTACCCATGTTGGGTAAATCTGAATACATATCTGCTACCAAATTGGCTCTCCGGCTGGTATCACATACCATCATTTCGGCTTCCTCCACCTCTAACTATGATACATCCTCTCACCCGTCGTCCCCGCGCACATCCGAAATGGAACAAGCCACCTAAGTTTTGTTTCAGACTCCTCATACTCTTTAACTAAATTTTATATCGGCTATCAACCTGACGCAACCTCATTTAGTTGCCTCTAACGACTGGCTGAGGAATTGTGGAAGTATTCTGATCTCCTTTCACAGCGGTTGTTTAGATACATATTAATTTATAAATTCATCGTCATTAAAAAATGATAAGATCTTACTTTAATTTTATAAATATGTACCCAATATATGACTAAATCTAACTCTTTCCCTCGTTCAATCTTTTCATTTTCAGTTACGCAGATAACATATAATTTAAATATTTATACCATAAAACATTATAATTATATTAATTTTATTATATCATTGAATGTTGTGTGTATTCAAAAACTGGTAATGGTATAAATACCCATTAATACTTGTAAATATAAGTTATGAAATATTTATTTTTATATTGATAGGCTTTGCCAAATAACCCATCAAATGAAGCAGACCTGATTTTGGATGATTGTATTCAAAAACTTTTATTTATGAAGGATAATAATACTCTTGATATACTTGACATGAAATTAGCTGTATCACAAATGATGGATGAATTGAAAGAAAATAGAAAAAAAAAAATGAATCCATTAATGGAATTAATCAGTTCTGATGATGAAAGTTTTACTGAAATAATATAGGTGACATTAGCATACTTTCAACAAATAATTCCACCTTTATGTAATATTGCAAGTGATAAAATTAAAAATATTGAATTTTTTTAAATGTTACAATTCAAAAAAAAATTTAACATGTGTTAATAATATTAAAGTTTTATATTTAAGTTTAAAAGTAATAATAATAATAATAATTTATAAAATATAGTATGTATATTAGATTGTAATAAATGTAACAAATTCCCAATAATATTACAACATATTATGATATTTTACAGAAATGTATCAGTATAAAAATATAAGATGTTATATTGAAAATATTTTATTTTATTTTTTTTTTATTATTAAATAACACCCTTGAAGAGTAATATGGTACAGCAAGACAAAATCACGAACACTACATGTATACAAAGTAACAACAATGTTCAAGTTTAAGTACTAATAAGAAACAAAAATTCATACAATGTCATAAAGATAAACAACAATAAATTCTGTGATATATTAGATAAGAAGAATATAATATTTGATATTTATAAATAATAAGTAGGATTCGTAACCAATAAGTATATGACTTAAATTTGTATTACAGAATTATTACAGAATTGTAAAGTCAAGAAGAAGAAAAAAATCCTAATCATATATTTGTATATTGTTAATGTGTATTTATTTAACTTATAATAATGAAGTATGTGAGATGGGTGAGAGACGAGTGGGTGTATCCATGGACCGTCGAGCGTATTTGTTGGTAGTGAGGATGAAAAGTTTGTGAGTGGATTTCGAGTTGTGTGTGTGTGTGTGTAAGATGAATGCGGCAATTGAACAATATTACACAAGGTCTCAATTTAATGTTTATCCTCAGCCATTTATTAAAGTAGTCTAGGTGTCAAATGTAAAAAAATCATTAAGAGAAGTTAGGAGATTAGGGTTATTATCGTTGTGTGTGTAAATCAAATTGCAAAATAAATAAATACAAATGCAAAGCATCGGGTATTCTATGCAAAATGTCATCAAAATTTACCATAGTTTAGACATATCCTTCAACATATAATATTATATTTGTTGATATTCTATTTGCAAACTCCTTGAAGTTCTAACATTTTTTATCAATTATCAATAAGAAAGATGTACTTTCTTTTGCTAAATTGCAAAAGTATTTTTTCTGACGTTAGTCTGAATTTAAATTTAATATTTATCAAGTCATATTTTGAATTTCTACCAGATATACTTACCAGTCTCAAAGTAAAAAACCTTTCACTATGTGATCCAATTAATATAATACAAAATGTTAATTTAAACTTAAATTAAGTCTCTAGTCCAATAGAAATAATATTCAAAGAAAAAATACATGTTGTTGTGAAAAAAAATTAGGATATTCAAAGTCTTATTAAAATTATAAACGGTGAGTAAACTAAAATGTATGGTTTAACTTAACAATAAATTATAATTATATTAATATTATAAATACGCCTCAGTTAATTCTGTTGATGCAGAATGATAATTTTCAAGAAAAGTATTGTTGGCTGACTTCAGTTCAACAATTAAAAAAAACATTTGGTCATTCAATGTAATTTTCAAGGTAAAAATACTATTTACTTAATTATCTACAGATTTTAATAATTTTTACTAAAATATTAGAAATATTATTCCCAGGGTCAGAAAAATCACTTTCATGAAATTAAATTTTATTAACCATTTATATTTTTTGAATAAATTGTTTTAAAAAAATATGAGTACATTTTAGTGCGAATTTTAGGGTTTTAAGTGTATAAGGTTTTGCATATATGTATAGTGCTTGTTTAGAAGGCTACCCTAATCATTATTAATATTTAATTTACATCATTGAAATCTGGAAGGAAATTAAAGAAAATCATTTTTATTTGTTATAATTCACTATAAAGAAAAAAGAAAAATAACGTATCATCAGTTAATTTCAGATTTTTTCATATATTACGCTCTTAATTATTACAGAAAAAAATTTCGAACATGATAACGTTGATAAAGTTTGCAACTGTCTGAATTCTGTAAATTCTTATATTTTTATGAGTAAGCTCTACTACAGAATTACTTTATGAATTATGATACGTTTTAACCTTAAAATAAACAATTCAATCATTCTTTGGTCATCGTTGAGTGAAACTTAATATTATCTATACTTCAAATGATCAACAATTAATTATGCTTCCTTATCGAGTATTTACTTAATTAAAAATATAATGTTTTATTTATAAACTTGTATTTAATATGTTTAATTAAACCAACATTTTTAACACATAAACTAATTAGTGTCTGATTAATAACAATAATAGATAGTAACTTAATTTATGAAAGTTAATTAGTATAATCAAATTGAGATATTTAAATCGCAGAACACCTTGAACTATGATGATTAGTGTTAAATTTTTAAAGTTATTAAATCCGAAAGAATGTTGAAGACCTAAAATTTGAATACTATAGTCAGTAAATATTTTTAACTTTTGTTAATTGGACCTGTATAAATAATTGTTGCTTGTATTTCTAATCAACAACACAGATGGCTATTTTTTTTGCTCATCATATTTGTTTACCAAAAAGTTATTATAATTAAAATTAAGATTTATTGAATTCTTAATTAATTTTAATTAATTTAGCTTAACAATTTATGAAAAAAATATACTCAATGCGATTAGTGAATTTTTTATCATATCAAGGATGGAACTTAAAAATGTACAATCATATAGAAGCTTGGGTTAGCTCCAACTTCTCTGCTCTTGTAATTATTTTTTTTATTTATTTTAATATAGCATGTGTAATAAACCCCAAATACAAGTAATATAGTTAGTACGTCATTCCAATATTCTAAAATAAATAATTAGTCAGAATATGACGTACAGGAAACAAAACTTAAAAAAAGTGTAAATGTTGCATAAACATGTTTTTATGCATCTTCGTTCTTAATATCGTGATCAAAAACACCATCTGGATTTCTGATCCTGATTTTCAAAGAAACCATTATTATTGATTAATACTACATTATTTTGAAATCCTATTATAGTATAATATAGTCTTAATGATTAATTCTGATTATTAATTTTATTTCATATGTATATGTAAATTTTGTATTCAAATTATAATATTAAAATAATATATGAAAATATGAAGGAATTGCAGACTGCAGAGTATGATCATATTGGATTACTTATCAATTAGTATGTATTTTTACTTACATAAAACCCATGCCGATGACGATGATGATGCCTGCGGCATACTAATAATAAAATTTAATAATATCATTTATATGTACCTAGATCGAAATTAACATAACACGTGTACCTAGATATATTGTATAATATACATATTATTGCATGGAGTCAAAGTAAACTGACTTTTCACCGGTTCCAGTTACGGGGTTTAAACCGGGTTTTATGTTTTCTATTTAAGTTTTGGATAACGGTTTCAAACTGGGTTTTATTTAATCTTTTCCTCATGATAAGGTTCACCATAATTTTGTTAGACAGGAATGTTTTAAGGCGTTTTCTCTAAAAACGAAAAAAAAGTATAAATAATAATAATATAAATGTTACAAAAATTAAGTATTACATTTACTAATATACATAATTTTTCATTTTAATTTTCTAGACATTAACTCTTTATGGTAATTGTCAGCGGCGGATTGGCTAAAAATCTCGGCCCGGGAAATTACCGTATGACCATCCAAATAATAATAATTTTCCATAAAAGTCTCCTGTATTCATGGATTAAATGCTCGTAGAACTGTTTACATCACGTTTATACTAGGTTTATATCAAAATCTTACAATTAAATACAATATACTTAAATACATTATTTTAATAAAATAATTTTTAATCCGAGTAAATTGGCCCAGTGTTACAATACGACTACCAGCCCACCGGGAACTTTCCCAATATCCCGGTGGGCCAATCCGCCGCTGGTAATTGTGTTAATAAAAACTTTACATAAAACTACTATATAGTTTATTTATGTTATTAAATTATTTCCTATTGATTTATGACATTATGATAAACCAACTGTACTGCTAAGACTAGAAGATAACTTGAAAAAGTATTTCATATCATTATATGAAAAAATAATATAATAATAGCTATGAATTATTAAAAAATATCAAAAATAACTAGTTATTCATATGCGGTATGCACATTACTAGATCTATTATTTTAAAATATTTTGATATGTGGAAGTATATTTTAAGTATGCAGTTAAATAATTATGGGAATCTTAGACACTAGAAATCATATACAAGTTAAATACAAGTTAAACGTTACATACAAGTTAATAATAATATGGTACACTATAAAATGTATGTACTTCAAAAGAAATATGAAATAAAACAGTGTAATATTGAAATATTTATTTATTTAACATATTTGATTAATATAATACTTTCTAGAATAGCTGAAGAAATATTTCCGCGTAGATTATTTAATAATGAACTGACGATTTTACTGCCTACGGTCATCGTGGGCATTGATGAAATTAGAAATACACATATAATATCTTATTTATGTTCTCCGAAAATTAAGTGAAAATAAACGTTTTTTATATATATATATATTTGTATAAGATTAATTCATAGTTTAATATTTTAATTACATTTCAATATTAATTTAAACTGTTTGTGTTTGAGTTGAAACTGGGTTTAATTTTTCTCTAGATTTGAATTTCGGGTAAAAACCGAGTTTACATATTTGTCGGGTTTCGGTTTTCTGTTCATACTCGGTTTAAAATTTTTCTCAAGTACCCTAAATTTCAAAACCTGGTTGTAACCCACTATGATTCTTATAGGATTTATCAAATACACGATAGAAATTATC